CCCTGACCTCCCTGGGCAGCCCAGGCCCGCCCCACACTTGCAGTGATCCTCTTATCTCAGCCTTCTAATTGCTGGGATTACAGCGCCACCATGCCCAGGTGTTATTGAATTTTTAATGTTACAGGAGCCTTACACTTCCAAACCCATGTCTCAGAATTAAAATTTATAAACGTGGTACAGTGGATAACCACGTCCACGGCTACAGTACACTACACCAATAGGGTTTATTAAAATTAAACTTGTGCATTGTGATGCTTCTTAAATCTTTTAAACATGAGGCAGTAGGAGCGCATTAAGTCTGCTGTGAGTCTGCAGATCTCTGGCATGGGAGACCCAGACCCTGGCCTCTGCGTCCCGTGTCCTGGAAATACTTGAGGCACACGTCATCTCTCTCACAGACAGTGGCCCTGCAGACCTGTGCACAGGGCACTGTGGATCTGGTACTCCCTAAGGGTCAGGCTCTGGCTCGGAGGCTGGATGCATCTGTAGCTTTGCTAGATGTCAGTGAGGGTGACAGTGGGCAGTCCCCTCCCCAGCACTCCCTGCCTTCTCCAGAGCTGAACACAGACACCCTCCCGATTTTTATTTTTTTGTCTTTTTGAGACAGGATCTCACTATGTGGGTCAGGCTGGCCTTTAGCTCACTTTGTAGCCCAGGCTGGTCTCAAACTCACAACAGTCTTCTTGCCTCAGCCTCCTGAGTGCTGGGATTACAGGCATACATCATCACGCCCGGCTACCCCTTTCAATTCTGAAATACATAATTAACAATTCTTGCTATCTAAGGCTCGGATGGACTAAAATTAAACTTGGCATTTCTACATTAATTGCATACATATCAATAACACTTTGCATAATGAAATTTATTCCTAAACCTAATGAGAGGTTTTTACTGATCAGATATTGCATATTGAATATTAATATACATTGTTAGCAGTCTGTTGCTCTTTGGATTATAATTTAATCCCATAATGTGCATTAGCAGATTGGACTAGCTATACTTGAATTGCTATAGTTACAGGAACCGTGGTTTTGAAAATACATGATCACAGTAGCACTTTCTGAAGTCTGGCTGTTCTCTTCCTCTGTTAGCAAAGCCGAGGGCTGGGGACGTAGCTCAGTGTTGGAGTATTTGCCCCAGTTCTTTTCCAGGAAGGAAGGAAATCAAGGAAGAAAGGAAGGGAGGGAGGAAATTGGTTTGTTGGTTGGTTGGAGAGCAAGACAGGAGAGAGGAAAAAGAAAGAAAATGTTTTGTTTCACTTCATTTTGAGTGTGACGTGCTGAACCTTGGTAGAGGCTGGGCGTTGTCAGGTACCAAGCTGCAGTCTGGTCACAGTGAACTCAGGACGCCTCCTGGAAGCCTCAGCCTTCAGCCGTCTGGCGTGGATGGAGAAGCTGCTGGCCGTCAATGCTGTGCACAAAGCCACAGGTTCAAGCTGGCCTCATTCAGAGCAGGGAATTCACGTCCTCGGCTAACTCAGGGCCTCGGCGGCCGCTGCGCATTCTGACCACCCTCACCCGGCTAAAGGAGTGGAGATGACAGAGTGAGCAGATGGATACTCGAGGAGCATTTCAGACGGGAGCTTTTAGCTCCCCGGTGGCTTAGGAAAACAGGCTGATGGGCCTTGGCTGTGGTCACACTGCTGATCGGGGCTGCAGAGGCTCCCGAGCCCTGGTGCCTGACCCAGCTGTGAGCTGACAACTGTCGCCCACTGCCTGTGTGCTTTGCCTGTGCAGGAGGACGTGTCCAGGGACTGCCGCTTGTGCTGCTGGTGGACGATGCAGCATCACTCTTTACTCTGTGCTCAGGATGCTAATTATACCCCGATGTCTAAGACAGCGCATCTCATCTGGGGCAGAGCCACTTCTGGGTGTGGGGTGAGCCCTGGCATCTCTATCTTATGAGGAGTGGAGGCTTTGGCAGGGCAGTGACTTACCGAGGCCCCCTGGAGAGCTGTGTGGACAGGAAGCCAGGTCCCACCCATCCTCCAGGTGCCCTGTACCCACTTGCAGCTCCAGCCAGCAGCTCTCCCTCCCGCTCAGACTCTCCTGACACTGAGGTCATTGTGCTCCCTCCTCTGATGCCCTGTCCTGGGGCCCAGGTCCTGGGCTTTACCTTGAGAAGCAGGTACACTCCTTGGAGCACACAGTAGGAGCCCCAGGAAGGGCTGGATGGAGAGGACCCTACTACCAGGGGTTTTAAAAGCTTGAGCTCCTAGGGCTGCAGCTGTATTGGTAGGGAGCAGGCTGGAGCAGAACCCTGGAGCAGGACCCCAGTATGTGTCCCCCGTACCCCCTAAGTGTACCCTGGCATGCTCGCATTCAAAAGCGACAAAGCTGGCTGTCAGAATGAAGCAGGGTTTGCTGCGCTGTTTGTGGGGGGGACACTGAAGAGTCTGGGTGCCCAGTGTGAAACACAAGGTCCGACAAGGGAATGAGCCGGTCACCACCAGGGCAAGTGGAGCTTGGGAGCCGCAGCTGGCATCAGGGCGCAGCCTCTCCCTGTGTCTCCTGCAGCCTGAGCAGCAGAGCAGGGGCTGGGCTGGGCATGACCTGGCCACCCTGACGGGCAGGGTACATGTCCACTTCCACGTCCACTCCACCCTCACCTAGCACTCGGGTCACTGTGGCTGATTCCACTGGTCCATTCTGTGCCAGGTTGGTGCCTGTGGCAGGTGTCTTGGGCCATCAGAGCCACTGGAGGTATGGATGGGGCAGTGGGGAAGCGCTGTGAAGGAGCCTGGCTGGGCAGAGGCGGTGGCAGTGGATGGCAGAGGCTCACACGGGGCATTGCAGGCACGAGGGGAGCCAGAGAAGATGGTGGTGGCACCAAAACCCCAGCTGGAGGTGCTCTCAGGGCCTCGTTCCAGCTGGAGCCTGAAGCCAGGCCGAGGTTAAGGTGGCGGCTGGCAAGCGGGTGCTGTGGACCCGCTGTGGACCACTGCAGGTGGTCCCCGGCACTCCTGCGTGAGGACACCTCACTGTACCCCTGCCTTGTCTCCACTGGGTCCCCGGGCTCCTGAATCCACTGGGTCTCATCAACAGCCTTACCTTAGCACTTTATGTATGCGGGCATATCCTGGGGTTCTTCCCGGGGGAAGTAAATTGGGGAGGACACTGACCAAAATGCATGCATCTGTACACCCTGGGGCAGGGTGGAAATGGGGGGAGGGACAGAGAGGGCAGCGGGGGTTGAGGGCTGCGGAGAGCATGGATCCAGCAAGGAGAATGCTCGGGAGCCAGGACAGCACTGTGCGTGCTCGGGGTGCAGGGCTGAGGCAGAGCGGGCTTGGCCAGCCGAGAAGATCCCGGTCACACTGTCAGCTGCCAGTGCTGCCGGGGCCACCTCTCTGTCCCACAAGAAGTGAGGCTGCTCCTGGGCACTGGGAAGTTTCCATGTATTAAAAATTCAACATGAGAGCAGTAAAGTCCAGCAGATTTAATTTCAAAGTGGACACCATACATTTAATAGTATTTAAAAATAAACTTATTTTAGAACAGCTTTAGGTGTACAGAAAAGCCCCGCATGTGCAGTTCACTGGCAGCCTTTCCCCCGATGCTTGTGTCTTACATTAATGTGACATGGATGGACCACTGTGGGTGCGACATTGTTAGGGGCCGTGCTGCAGATAGGGGCGGTGGCACACGTCTGTAATCTTGGATATGTGGGAGGCTGAGGCAGGCGGATTGCAAATTCAAGGCCATCCTGGCAACTTACAAAGATCCTGCCTGATAAGAGAGAGAGAGAGAGAAAGAGAGAGAGAGAGAGAGAGAGAGAGAGAGAGAGAGAGAGAGAGAGAGACAAAGAGAGACAGAGAGAGAGAAGGTAAACTAACACCATGGTTTCTCATACCAGCGCTGATGCCATCCATGATGCACATGCACTGTCATTGGTACAGACCTTGACCGGCTGGCCAAGCGGGCATCCTGCAGGCCCTCTGTGAAGTACACTTGTGCCCCTTGCTGTCTGGCTGTGAAGAAGGCACCGTGCCACGCACATGAGAGAGTTGGGCGTTGTGTGCAGCCTCTTGCCTCAGCCTCCCGAGTCACGAGCTAACGAGCATGCACCGTCCCTGCCGGCTTGGTTCTTTCTTCGTCATCCTCGAATCCTAATTCGCTGCGGGAGCGCACCAGGCTGTTTATCAAAGGACATGTTGGCGATGCCGACTTTTGTCAATCAGGAGTAAAGCTACCATAAATACTGATGCGCAAGTCTGTGTAGAGGCAAGTTTTCAGGTCACCTGGGGAAACACCCAGTGTCAGTGCACTTTCTGGACCCTGTGGGGCAACCGTGTAGCCTTATCAGAACCGCCCAGCTGCCTCCCCAGGTGGCCCATTTTGCATTGTCCCAGTCACAAAGGAGACCACCTGCTGCCGCTCATCTCTCATCTCGGCCCCATGGTGGAACTGGGTGTGTGCTGGGGGCCGGCCTCCTAGGGGAGCTGTTTGTGTCTCCTGATGACAGTGACATCAGGCTTCTCTCCGTGCCCTTATTTGCTGTCTGCGTGACATCATTCTGTGGTGAGGAGTCTGTTCAGATCCTTTGCACGCTTTTAAGACCAAACTGGTTATTGTCTTTCTGCTGAATGTTGAGAATTCTTTTTATGTTCTCTCTGCAGGCCTTTTACCAGACATATTATTTGCAAATACTTTTTTCTCGATGTATGACTTGTACTTTTATCCTCTCGAGCATCTTCTGTGACTTTAAAACTTCTTCCGTGGATTGTGCTTTCAGTGTTGTATCTCAGATCACCACCACAGCCAAGACCATCCGCTTCTAGGAAAGCTACAGCTCTGGGCTTGTTATGGGGCCCGAGTTCCTCTTTGGGAGGAGTGTGAGGCTGGTGTCCAGGTCCACCATCGAGCACCACTGTCCCAAGCCTGGCTCACCTCTGCAGGTGTTTCCAGTTGGCGCCTCTTCCTTTCTGCATGGCTTAGCTGCTGTCAAGTGTCACCGTGACCCAGGGGACCGTTCTCATTTCCTCTCTACTTGTCTTACAGCGAGACCGCTGGTGCAGACCCTGCCTCTGAGGACCACCGTTAACAATGGCACCGTGTTACCAAAGAAACCCAGCGGCTCTCTGCCATCCCCGTCGGGCGCCAGGAAAGAAACCACCGTGCCGACAACCAAAAGGTAGGCAGAAGACACACCTGGGGCTCAGCACCCCTTGTCAGATTCTAGAGGTGCGACTTTTGGACATGTGTGACTTCTTCTCTTTCTTGTGTTAGAGTCAGATGTGCCACCTGTGAAATCTCCCTGGGTAAAACCACAGTGTGTCTTTCTGTATTTTTATTTAAAGTTCTCTTTATAAAAATAAGGAGACTGTACGGGAGGTTAAAACAAGTGTGCTATTCCTGCGTCCATATTTGAAACAGCAAAGTGCTGGTTGCCATAGCGACTTGGACTTTTTAAAAGCCGTAAATAGATAAGCTCATACTTTCAAATGCCTAACTGCAGAGCTGTAGATATTGATGTCTGCCAAACAGGCTGTAGTTTGCTTTCAATTTTTTTTTTTTTTGTTAATTCATAATAGGTATATTAGAGTGCTATATTTTGTAGCCAGTCTAAATTCTTTAGGTTGTGAGAAATGAAACACCTGATGCTTATATAATATGAAAGCCTCAAGGAAACCCTCCTGCAGCGATTGCTTTCAGGGGATTAAGAATCACCCAATTGGGGTTGGGGGTTTAGCTCAGCGGCATAAGCGCCTGCCTTGCAAGCAGGCAGTCGTGAGTTCGATCCCCGTTACCGATAAAAAGGAAAAAGAAAAAAAAAAAATCACCCAGTTGTGGAGTCCGTGAACATACTAAGTCAAGCCCAGCTGGGACTTGGGCTGGGGTCTGCCCCTGGGTTCCCCGGGGGCTAGGAGGGGCTCGTGCAAGTTTGGTACTGTTGGACCTAGAACGAATATCTACCCAGCCTGTCTCCTCTCCTTGGAAAGGAAGTCTAGGCCGCCCAGCATGTCCTGAAGGGGTCGGGAATGTGGTGGAGGAATCTCGGCTGAGGGCCTTCCCTGGGTGATTTCTTCACCTGTGCAGCGGCCCAAGGCCTGTGTCTGCCCTGTGTCCAGGTTATTCCAAGATGGACACTCCTGTAGAGCCCTGCAGAGTCTGGAAAAAAAGTTCAGTTTGTGGTTTTTTGTTTGTTTGGGGTTTTTTTGGTTTTTTTCGGTACCAGGGATCGAACTCATGACTGCCTGCTTACAAGGCAGATGCTTATGCTGCTGAGCTAAATCCCCAGCCCCTCAGTTTGTGTTTTGCATCAGGCTAGACCACAGGAGGGGTCTGGGTGAGACACAGAGGAGCATTTAATAGCTCACAGATCCAGGAGAAAATGGGGAGCCCTTGAGAGCTGACACCAGGACAACTGACCAACAGCCGGGGCAGTGGGGCCAGGTCATTAGAAGGCAGGGCGCCTGGCATCAGCCCCTAAGTTGGCCAGGGCACCGTGGATTGGAGACTTTAAGGAAAACCTGGGCCAAGAGGAGAACTGGCTGGCGCGATTCTGGGGCCTGCCGTCAGGGTCTGTATTGGGGAGACGGGTTTTGGGTCATGTGTCCAGTGCGGAAGGACATTTTAACCAGGACAGAGGTGAGCAGGCACAACTGGGTTTCAGACAAATGATGTCAAACCTGAGAATAAATGTGGACAGAGCTGTATTAAACAACTGGTGGCATCTTTGAAGTATCTGCTCTATGCAGAATGGCCTGGCCTTGTCCGGCCAACTCACTGTGTTTCGCCACACAGCTTCATGCGTTTATTTTTGTGAGTTTCTGAAAATGGTTTTAGCAGTACTCTTCAAAACCTTGAAACGCAATTCTTGGCCTTGTTTTATGTCTAAGTGAACCATTCGTGTTTACAGCCAACCCAAAATGACCTGGATTCTACTTGGCAGCAGCAGACAAGACTTCTGTGGGTCGCCATGTGAGATTAACAAGCGAGGCTTGTCTCATTAGCGCTCAGGTTTCCATCTGTTACGTTTTATAATTGGGGTAAAAAACACAGAACATTTAGTTTACCAGCTTCACGTTTGTAAGTATGCTGCTCAGTAGTGCTAAGGATGTTCATCTTGCTGTTTAATTGATGGCTAGAACTTTTTCATTTTGCAAAGCTTAAAATATATCCCTGAGATACAGCCCTGGGACTTGTGTCTCTACTTTCTGTTTCTTTTTTTGTTTGTTTGTTTTACTTTCTGTTTCTTGATTCTGACTCTGCCCGTCATTTCTGAGGAGGGTGTCACGTGCGTTTGTCCTTTTGTAACGGGGTTGTTTACTCGGCATAAGATCCTCCAGGTTCATCCTCGGCCTCGAGTATGACTGATTTGTCTATAAGGCTGAATAATATTCTGGTATAGAACCATCTGCCCGGTGCCTGGTTGCAGCAGAAAAACTTAAAGCAAAAAAAAAAGTGAAAATTGAACGTGGATATAATTTCATTTGCTTCATGAGAACGTGTGTCAGACATTCTTGGTCTCTTTCATTTTGTGGCAGTCTATTTGGCCCAAAGCAATAATGCCCACATTTGGGGTTTTCTTAGCCCTCCTGTGATTCACTGACATGATTTTCAGAATTCCTAGGAGACTGTATCTTGCCACATTTATATTTGAAGTATTTTTTTAGGGCAAGATGAATGTCAGGAGTGAGCTCTCTGAAACTGACCAGAGCAACAAGTAGAAGCGGCTATGTTTCCACAGAACATGAATGAGACGCGGAGGCATCACTGGGGACCCCCACCCCACTTCGTCTGTGTGTGGGGTTGAGACAGGGTCTTGCTATGTAGCCCAGGCTGGCCTTGAAATCCTCATGATCTTCCTGCCTCAGCCTCCAAGGGCCCCAGGTCTGGCTTCGCCCCCCTTTTAAGTCATTTCGGGGTAATTACTGGCTGGATACAGGATGTGTGAGCCACAGAACAACCTAGCAAGGTAAGTGCTGTTATCCGTTTCACCAGTGAGGAAACTGAGGCTCAGGGAATGAAACACACGGTCCAGGGAGGGGTCCCAGGGCTAGAAAAAAGCCCCCACCCCGTCTGTCTGTCTGTCTGTCTGCAGAGCACCTGCCACTCTCTCTGTGCCACACCCTGACCTCAGATACTTCTAAAAAGCATCCAGTGTGACCACAGCCTGGAAGGCGCCCATGTCATGCCCATCCAGTCTTTTGCCATCAGTTAGGGGCAGGAGCTGTGGTCCAGTGTGAGGGCCGCGCTGGGCAGTTTCCTGGCAGGTTTCAAGGTGGAGAGACAGAACCACCCATTGGTAAGGACTGTGGGCCGGACTCCAGGCGGCAATACGAAGGGCTTCTGGGCAGTGGTCACTCTCTGCTGTCTTTGGAAGAAGGAAGGAGAGAGGGAGGGACGGAAGAAATACCACAGTTTGTGGGCCCCAGGCCTTGCGTCCTCACCAGGTTGGAGCATCAGCAGTCTGTGCAGGACTGGCCAGTCATGCGGCTCGTACCACCTGGTCGGCCAGTCCCAAGCTGCCTGACTGGACGTCCGGTTGGCAGGCACCACCTATCATTCAGAGCGGCCTGGCAGTGAGACACAGGAATGACACCCCCGTCACGAATGTGTTAAACAGCAGCGATCTTTCCAGAAACAGTCTGAGGCCACCACAGACTCCGTGTTTCAGTTTACAGACTAATCCATTCGGTTACCTGCCAGGCCGTTACCAGCGTCCAGCTGCCCACTGGAGCTTGTGGCTTTCCAGACTCCTGGCTTCCTGGGCCCTGTGCATCGAGGTCCCCATCCATTCCAAAGCTGGAACTAAAAGTGACAGCATCTCACTGTGACCCTGTGGCCACGTTCCTACAGATCTCTCATTAGCAGAGAACTTTGCAGCGGAAAGAAGTGGGCAGGGCATTCGGGGTCTAAGGGTTGAAGCAGCTGTGGAGTAATTTGAAATATGTTTACAATCACGCAGGAATTTTTCAGTAATCAGAGTTCCAGATGAGCCGAGTTGGAGCATCTGCGGGGTGCACGTGAGGGTGTGTTTGTTTTCTTTTTCTCTGGGGGTTTTTCAGCCTGGTGCTTAAGAACAAAATCCCCTCTGGAAATAGTCCAGCCCCCAGCGGTTGTGCTCTGTGCCGCCAATTAAGACTTCTTTCGGGTTGGGGGCTTGCCTTGGGATCTTTGGGGACAGCTTTGTTTCCATTAGTCAAGGGAAAAAAGGCCAGAAATCCAGGGCCATCTTCGGAGGTCATACCTAACTCTGCAGTGCTGCAGCTGACAATAAAGATTTCCAACGCCAAGAAAGAGACAATCGCTCCTTCTCTCCGCAGTCCGCAGAGCATCACAACAGGCAGGGCTGTGAGAACAGAGATCAAAAGGACAAAACTGATACAGAAAGCGTGAGTTTAACAGTGCACAGTACGGAGCCTGAGACAGAATTGTAAAACTACCGCTTGCAAACAAATGGCCAGGGGTCCTCTGGAAGAAGAGTCCCACTTGTCAGAAGTACAGCGTTTGCAGCTGTCCTGAGTTCAGGGCCAGATTCACATCGTGGAGAATGGAAAGATAAAGTCCATCTTAAGTTGATATTTTTTTGTCTTTTTCCTTTTTATCGGTACCGGGGATCGAACTCACGACTGCCTGCTTGTGCCACTGAGCTAAATCCCCAACCCCTTTAAGTTGATTTTTTTAAAAAAAATTTTAATATATTTCTTTGTTATGCAGATCTAACGAGTCTATCCTCAGTAGCAAAATAGAAGTGGGAATATTGTCGTGTTTGGCCCCAGCCCTTATCTGGAGCGGTACGGTTCCCCCGCCGGAGGTAGTTGCCTTTGTATGGCAGGAAAAATAGCTTTTTTTTCTAGAAGATCCCTAAGACCACAGCCTTCCTGGGAAATGACTTGTATTTTGTCACAAAGATACCTGTTTTAGACAGTGACAGGTGTCTGCTGTTCTCTCTTTGTGTTATCACAGTCCATCAGGAGTAGGTGTCTCATAGTTTGCAGAAAAAAGCCACGCTGGTCCTAGTCCCCTGGAGACCCTGCTGTCTTCAGCCAAGTACGCGGTCAGTGGCCTAATCCATGTTTGTTGAGTGCATGATTGTCTTTAGTCCAGAGTTACTCTTCTGGCAGCCATGACAGAAGAAATCTCTGAGAAATCTTGCCTGAGCGCTACCTGTCAAATTTTGTTCTGCTTGTCAAAATTTGGGATCTTTTTGTAAAAATTTGAAAAACCCATTTCTGAACTCTTTAAGTCTCTTGACGAAAGTGAGCCTCGGTGGCTGCCTCTTTCTGAGCTGTTCCCACCCACGGGAAGGACGGCCCTGGCTCCCAGCGCCAGCCAGGCTCAGCGCAGACGGTTCACGATGTCTGAAGGTTAAACTGGCAGGAAGTCTCGGAGCGGAGCATGCGTAACGAGCTGTCAGGAGCCGTTTTATTTTCAGAATTCAGATCTGGAGGCTCGGTGTACGAGGGGAACAGCAGGAAAAGGAAGAAGCAACCTTTGTGTGTTCAAACCCCAGTTCTTCACCTGCCTGAGAGCCGAGAAATTCACTGCGTGGTTTTGTAGCCGCTCACAAGACAGTGCTCCGGACACTTTCTCTCTCTCTCTCTTTTTTTTCTTTTTTTGTCTTTTTGAGACAGGGTCTTACTATGCAGGTCAGGCTGACCTTGTGCTCACTCTGTAGCCCAGGCTGGTCTCGAATTTGCAAGGATCCCCCTGCCTCAGCCTCCCGAGTGCTGGGATCACAGGTGTGCACCACCACGCCCGGCTTGCTCTGGCCACTTTCAGAATAAGGAGCATTGTTCCTGTGTGCTGCGCAGAGGGACGCAGCTTGGCTGACTTCCCGCCGGCTTCAGGACGCTTCCTGAAGTGAGCCCATGGCGCCCCTCGTACGCAAAGTCTGTCTGTCTTCAGGCTTTTCTTTTCCATCCCCGCTGGAGTCCCCTTAAATCCTCTTTTGATTCACAAGCGCCCTTGGCTCTCAACAGGAAATGTCTTTTTTTTTTTTCTTGAAAATAGGACAATTGTGAGATTTTAAAAAACATGTTGATGCAAATGTGGAGATGACAAATGTCCTGAGAGAGCCGAGATGGACCAGACCCAAGCCTGCAGACGCAAAGCAGCATGTTTCTTCGAGCGCACACATCCTGCACCTTCTGGAAGCTTCTTAAAATCCTCGCCCGCACTTCCATGGCTGTGCTTGTGTTTATTCTGCTTCGTCCCTGCATGTGACAGGCCTGTGTCTTCTCCGTGCAGGCAGAGGAGTGGATCCCCCCGGGGGCCGCGCACTCAGCTGTGTTCCGTTCACCTCCAGTCTGAATGCAGTGGTCCAGTCCAGGGCCGTTGCAGGGGCGGTGAAGCCGTGCCCCAGCCGGCTGTCTGTTATCACCGAACATTCTAAAAGGTTTGCCATCGCTGGCCTAGCATGTCGCAGGGCTTCAATGGTATAACTTCGTTCTTTATTGATCAGCAGTGAGTTTGCAAACACCCAAGAGATGCTTGAAAGCCAGTGGGCCGCAGTGTTTTGTAAATCACTGTAATCTTAGGTGGCTGGTGGGAAGTGCATGCGTGTGTGTGCACATGTGTGTGCAGTCATCAGCCCATCATTTGCTGAGCCTCAGACAGGGGCCACTGTACCTCTGAAACCATTTCCACACCTGTGAAGTGAGGGTGGTGTTTTCTGCAAGGACAGCAAGGTCCAAGTGACACCGTGTGGGACCTGGGCGCTAGCTGTGTGTGAGCAGCGGACAGCTGCCGGCCTCTCCTCCCCTCCCCGGCCCGGGCCCCCGGTTGATCATCCGTCATTAGGAGATCAGTTCGGGTTCGCTGCCACTGACTGGTCGTCATGGTTTGTTCGGCTCTGCAAGAGTGTTTCATACAATTCCTTAAATTGCTGTGAACTTGCCGTGAACTCCCACAAGGCCGCCACGGAGGCGATACTGCAGGCTGCTCTGTGCCACGGCTCCCCGGGGCCCCATCAGCAGGTCACACGCAAAGCGTCAGGCCCAGCCTGGTAGGCACCCAGCAGAGAACAATCCTACAGGGCTGAGTTCACGTGGCTGTCCCCATCGGAAGATCTTGAACTCAGGCAAAAAAGCCTTTGTGATTTTTAGACTCCAATCCCACGCTGCAGAAATGTACTGTTCTCCTGAGGTCTGTAATTCTCCTGAAGCCAGACTGAGCAATCCAGTGGGTGTGGCGTTGTACAGGTTAATCCCGCACTGGGGAGGCTGAGGCAGGAGGATAGCCTGGCAAGTTCAAGGCCAGCCTGAACCACATAGTGAGACCCTGTCTCAAAAAAGCGAGAGAGAAAGAAAGAAGAGCTGGGGATTTAGCTCAGTGGCACAAGCACCTGCCTTAGCCAAGTGCGAGATTGTGAGTTCAATCCCTGGTACCAAATAAAACAAAAGGAAGGAAGGAAAGAAGATGGGACATTCTAAAGACTCACACTGGCCTTAAGATGTGCCCCTGCCCTTGCAGTTGGACACCGCTGCTGAAGTTCAGAGTTTCCTCAGCTACGAAAAAGACTGTGCCCAAAGAACACGGACATAGTTGGGATCCCGGTCACTTTATTGACTCTGCCCACCCCGCCCCGCCCCCCACCCTCCCCTCCCCCTCCCAGGTGAGCCCTAAGAAGCCACACACAGGAGATGCTTAAACACCTGCTAAATGGGCCAGACTGTAGCTCAGCCGCCCAGCACCTGCCAGGCAGCGCAAGCGTCTTGAGTTCAATTCCCGGTACCAAAAAAATAAACAAAACGTGCAGAGAGCTTATTAACTGGCCAGTGGGAAGGGACAAAGGGAGAAGGACAAAAGGAGGAGACCGAGCATGGACAGAGTCAGGGCTGCGGGAGACACAGAGGCCGCACCAGCAGGGACCTCGGGGTTTTGGTCACAGGGATGAGCGCGTGGAGACTGAGCCTGGCGCAGTGTCCTGCTGCTACGGCTCTGTGCGTTGGGTTCCGTGTCCTCCTTCATGGTCTCCCTGCCTCCGTCCTCCCTTCCTCTAGCTCCATTCCCTGTCCGCCACGCTGTCCCCGCCTCCGCTGCTGGTTTCCCAGCCGCTCTGCACTTGGAGCCTCCTGGGGCCGCTTCTCCCTCTCCCCGCTCCTCCCTCACCACTGCCTCGCTCCGTGGCTTCCCACGCGTCCACCAGATGGTCAGTGCCGTCCTGAGCCATCCAGTGACAGACAGGTCTCGGATCTGTGCTTCTTCCTGCCACCCCAGCCCCGGCCCCCACAGTGCCCATCTCCCCTTCCTTCTTCTGGATCAGTGTGTAATCGGGGCAACTCGTGTCTCTGGGACAGAGTGACAAATGGTGGCCCCCAGTGACCAGTCACCTGTTTTACCCTTCCCCTTGCTAAGTCTGTGCGGAGCTTCTCCATAAGGCTATATGGAGGAGACACAGAATGACTCGTGAGACCAGAGATCAAGAAAACGTGGGGGACAGCTGAGAGACAGCTGTGTGGCCCTCTGCCTCCAGGAGTTTAGGCCACTACAGCAGAGTGACCAGTAAACCCCAGGAATTAATTTCTCATGGTTCCAGATTTCACTGTGGCCCCCATGATGGGAGGAGGCCTGAGTTTTCCCTTTGGGCAGCTGCTGATCATTCATGAGGGCTAGGTGACCCCTGGAGGTCTGGTCCCCAACTGCTGTAGCACTGGGGGCTCAGTGCCTGCCAGCTGGGGTGGCAGCATTTGGCCAGTGCCTGCTGTGAGGGAAGTGGCCTGGCTCCCCGCACCCTGCGCCCTGGCTCTGCTCTGAGCCTGTGGGTCTCCTGCGTCTCTGGTCTCCCTTCCCTGGAGATGGGCTCTTGGCTGGGTAAGGGAAGCACATCAAGCCCTTCACGTGATGGTCCCCAGAAATTCCAGGCTTAGGAAGCCTCCCAGGCCTCCATTTCCTAGCCGCCGGCCACACCAGTCCCTGAGGGTGTGCAGTGGGAAGCTGATTGCTTTGCTTCCCGGGCCGCCTCTGACCAGGGCCCTGTACACATGGTGGGGACATCTCCGTCACTGCCTTCCTCCCGGCACCCTGTCACCATCCTGTGCATCTTTAGACCTAAGGCTCTTCACGTCAGTGCTGCTGGCATTTGGAGCTGGGTAATTCCTTGCTGGGGGACACTTTGGGTCTCACAGGATATGTGGCTGTGTCCCTGCCTCTGCCCGCCGGCTGGTTATGTCCCCTTACCCTGAGCTGTGGCGACAGGAAATGCCTGAGGCATTGCCACCTGTCTGCTGGGGTTGACATCCCCTGGCTGGGTGCCGGGGGTCCAGACTGAAGCACCTCACATCCCTTTAGGCCCAGGCCACATTACGTGCCTCAGTTTCCTGAGCTGACAAAGGCATCTTCGAGCGATGTTCTGGAAGGCTCTCTGCTGTATGTGGCCAGGGCCGTGGGACCCGTCTGTCCCCTCACATCCTCGTGGTAGCCTGAGGTCCTGAGTAGAGTGTAACAGGACAGAGGCTGATGGAGGGCGATGTCCTTGTCGCCCTTCTCTGCAGCATCAAGCGGACCAGCTCTTCGGAACGCGTGTCCCCTGGTGGCCGGAGGGAGAGCTCTGGGGACTCCAAGGGAGGCCGCAACCGCACGGGCTCCACCAGCAGCTCCTCCAGCGGCAAGAAGAACAGCGAAAGGTGAGGAGACCCTGGCATGGGGGCCTGCCAGGACAGCACGTTACCCGAAGTGCCAGGGACCGGGTGCGAGGGCCCTTGCGTGCGGATGGACTGGCCCAGCTCCTCCTGACTACACGGCACTGATCACACAGTCGGGTGAGGGCACAGCTCACGTAGACTACCGCCCAGGTCAGAAACCTTTCAGTCAGACTCTCGGGTGTCCTGCAGGCCTTCAGAATTTGCTGGGTACCAAGTACCTTGAGCCTGGGAAGCCGTTCTGATCTCTGCCTGAACCCGGCATCCCTGTAGCCTGCCTGCTACCGCCGTAAGGTGAATGGGACGAGATGTTTTAAGGCCGCCAGCAGGGTTTTGCTGAGACTCAGTGGGCCCAATGTTGTAATTTTATAATTTGTCAGAGACGCTAATTCAGAGCTGACAACAAAAATAGGACACATTTTGCTTTCTGGTTTCCTGACCTACGTTTACTCCTAACTTTTAAGGTTTTTTTTTTTTTTTTTATGAAGTTAGTTTACAATGGGTTATTGTAACTATCTGTAAAATTGATAGTACCTTTTTATTCATTAGCTACTTTGGGGCATTTTGACAGCCTATCCTATGTTTAAAAATGTATAGTTGAGGTCAGTTTTGCTGCGTGGATCTGCCTAATGTGCTGTCCGCTCTTTAAACATTGTACTTTATTTTGTCCTCTGTTTAGCAAAGCTCAGGGAGGAATTTCAGTTCCAGAGGCTAAACATGTTTCTTTTCAAATGTTCATGTAAGGAGAAGGCTTAGTCATAAACGCAGCCCGCTCCAAACCACAGGCTGAACGGGTTCCAAGTTTGTAAATCTGCTGTGATTCAGTCCTGTGAAGGACGCTTAACCTCTGCAGCACTTTCATTCTGCACGGCACCTTTTATAGAAAACTCACGCACACTTCGCAGCCGAAGCAGGTCAGGTCCAGGGTTGGTTAAGGAGCTCGGGAACCGTGGTTGACAGAAGGTCTGTCTTCTCATTCAGGCTCTTAGGCTTCCGGGTAGAGGATTATGCTGATTGGGCGATAATACTTAGAAATCAGGCCAGGTGGTCATGCTGGTGGCAGGAGTGTGGGCCGGAGGGAGGAGCGTGGCCTCAAGGGCCTCTCAGAATGTGGACCTCAGGAAGTGAACCTCGGATGTCTAGATTTTGGCACTTCTTGTAAACTTGGCTTCTTCTGGGCACATCTGATTTTTATTAAGTGTTTGTAAGAAGAATCTGCATTGTGTAAACCCCAAATCTGTTTTATCTTTTTAAATCCTATGGCTTTGGTAAATGTGCTGGGTAAATATTTCCATAGAAGATATTTACAAAGGGATTTTTTGAGAAAGGCCACAGTAGGAAATTTTGATTTGGGAATGAGGGGCTGGGGAAGAGTACTAATCATTTCTAAAAATAGTCCAGACCACTGAAAATGTCCATGTAAAAGAAACTTTTGCCTTGTTAGAACCTGGCAGAGGCTGGGAGAGGACAGTGTAACACGCGCCTCTCCAGCTGCTAGAGCTTCGGGAGGTGCTGGGCCTCCCCTGGGTGACCACTGGTCTGGAGGGACACTTGTAGGGGGTCGGGGACCCATAGGGGAGACACAGCTGGGAGCCCAGGCGGGAGGGCGACCTGGTCATCCGGGTGCTGCCCGCAGCCTCCTCCACGGCTGATCCCTTCTGCGCTGGCTGCTCCCTCCCACCTGCTGGAGAAGCGACCTCAGGTCTGGACAGGCACAGAGAGAAGCTGCAGAGCTTGACCGCCTGGCACACGTCTGTGATCCTAGCACTCTGGGAGGCCACAGCCAGGGAAGCTCAAGTTCAAGACCAGTCTGGACAACTTAGCCACTTCATGAGGCGCTGTTTCAAAATAAAACATACAAACGGCTGGGGACGTAGCTCAGTGCACGGGCTCTGGGTCTGATTCCCAGAACCGCACACGACACAGAAGACTGTGAGTAGGGGTCTCAAGACTGGTGGCCTCTGGCCCTCACCCTGCCCTTCACTCGACAGCTCGATAGCACATGCCCAGGGTTCCGGGGCTGTGTCACAGGTGAAGGATGTGCTCGGCTGGCAGCTCAGGCAGCAGGACAGCACGGAAAGCAGATCTGGGCTGGCCAGGACTTCTGGCCTCCTTTTCTCACGCATCTTGGGAATGTGAGACTGGGTACTGGATCCCCTCAAATCACACTGGCTTAGTCACTTTGTTCCTTGCTTAAAGGAGGACAGCCACGACCTAAGGACCACAGGCTTCACTGAGGTCTGCTGGTTGAGGTTTTGCCCCATAGTTGGCTGGCAAGTCAGCACGAGGCCCCAGTGAGCATTGAGGCTCTTGGGGGACATCCAGGTACAAATGTGACCCTAATTCCAGGAAACTGGCCATCAGAGCCGGGCTGATTATTCCCCCGCTGCTCCCCTGGAGCCCAGGCAGGGGATGTGTGAGGCTCTACACCATGCCCACGGTGGTTTCCCCGACGCGTGAGCTCGGAGACATCCAGCGGGACGTTCCTTTCCTCACTGGTCTGATGCATTTGACTGCATTTGTACAGCGACTCAGTCCCTGTACCCTGGTACAGCCCAGGTTTGGATGAAGTCTCACTGCAGCCAGGGAGGAAATAAGGCACGGTGCCTCCCCACACAGCCAGTGAGGGATGTCCCACATGCTGGTGCGTGGGTGGGCGGGACCCAAGGCCCTGGTCCTCTCGGGAGCTCATGCACACCCAGCTGCCCTGCTGGGATGGGGGAGAGCTAGGTTGTGGCTGCAGCTTCCCGGCCTGGCCAGCTTTGGAGAAACAGCGGGTCGCTCACAGCACTGCTGTCTTACCTGGATCAGAGATCATCAGCTTTGAGGCCCACAGTGCGCCACACCCTCAAGTGGCTGGCACAGAAGACTCTCATACAAATTAGAAGAGGCTCCCTTTTCTCCAGAAAAGCAGTTCTGTGCCAGTGTGTCTCTCAGCAGTGTTACAGCAGCTGTCAAATGCTGTGTGCGTTGTACAGATGTACACTGCTGAGCAGAAAGAGCTTAGGAGTCACCAACATTAGCAGTTTACAAAACACAGTAACATGTTCTAAAATCATTTCATTTTACTTTCTTAGAAGCTATACTCCTTGTAATAGCTTTAAGGTTTCTCCTGTATCTCACTTAACTGAGCTTGATAGTCTCTTTGTGTGTAGGACATGACAGAGTCTGCTCTGGCAGTGCTGGGGATCGAACCCAGGGCCTGCACACTGCAGTACATACTTAACCCTTTTTAAAAATTTTTACTTTGAGACTGGTTCGAACTAAGCTGTCCAGACTGGGCTCAAATTTACAATCCTGCCTCAGCCTCCCAGAATAGTGGGATTACAGATGTGCACTACCAGGCCGAGGTGACAAGATACAATCTTGTTCATTTTAGAACATTTAATGGTTTAAGGTACTTTGCTTGCAACAAACCACAGAATTTTAAGTGTTTGCTATTTGTACTGAAAAAGCTGGCATGAAAAACAAAAGCAATGTAGGGCAGTATAATATTTTACTTTACATATTAATGACAGTAAATTAATAATAATTATACAGTGACTTATGCCACCATGAAATACTTATTAAATTTAAATACAGAATCAGCAGTAATGTTCTAGTGGAAGACTTGTATGATGTACCCAGTATACTGATCTAGAAGGGTCTGTTTAAGAGGATTTTATGTGGGGGAAAAATGTCTGGCTACTTAGATGCCCAGTTTATGGCCAGTGTTGCTAGACTGATACAATGTTTCAATTATCACCCTGTTTGAATTTCCCACCCCTTGGAAGTAAGAGGCAACTGTGTTTCCATGCAGAGTGGCAATGGGCTGATTGGGTTGGAGGAAATGTTTTAGCCTCTGGGGCCTGCAGGTCTCGGGAAAGCCAGGGCGGAGATGCTGTGGGTAGAGTGTTTCCTTGGAGGCCCTTAGCCCCATACAGTCTGAACCTGCACGGGTCGGGACAGGGAAGTCAGGGGCCATGGAGCTGGGTGCTTCCTGAAGCCACTTCCTGCTGGGGTGTCCCTGTCTAGGACAGCTGGTGAGGCAACACCATGTCTAGTCCCGACACAGACAGGATGCTGCTATGGTTTGGGTGTCACAAAAAAATGCATGTGTTGGAAACTTGGTGCCTACACAGTGGTGTTGTGGGGTAGTAGGATTTTTATTTGCTTGTTATTAATGAATTAATTAATTAACTTTTGAGATAAGGCCTTGCTGTGTATCCCAGGTTGGCCACAAACTCGTGGTGATGCTCCTGTCTCAGCCTCCCCAATGCTGAGATTACAGGTGTGGCCACCACGCCCAGTCTGAGCTGTCATCTAAATCTTCATGCTCAGGCTCCTAGGGTTCAGGGCTCCCCACCATCAGACCTGTCTTCCTCTCGTAGGCCCCAATGTCCATGCCTCACCAACACATCCCCACTTTCCCCCAGCAAGGTTTTCCAGGTCTCTTTTTCAGTTTACTGTAAGTAACTGGTTAGGAAATCCCGATGTGGGAAGTGACAGGGATGTGCCTGAGGCTGGGGCAGGAATGCAGGGTGCGCTTGGGCAGCTCCACAGCTCTGCCGGGGCTCTTTCCAGCCACTCCTTCTGTCCTTGGGTCTGAAGCCGGGGCTTTTGTGACCCTAACTCCAGCCCCCACATCCCGGTGTCCTCCTTTCCGGCACAGGGAAGCAGAAGCTGTGTGGCTTTGCCCACAACCTGCAGGCCGAGAGCTGTTCCATGCAGGAAAGGACCCGCATGGTGGGCCAGGACTATGAAGCACTGGGCACATAGCGCCACCTACAGGCCGAGGATTTTAACCCGCACTTCAGACTTCAGCCGCAGTGTGCCGGAGGCCAAGCGACCCAAATGAGGCATCCTTTCCAGGGCTGGGGTCGTTTGCCTTTGAATGTATTTTAAAATAACTGTTAGTAACATTCTTTAAGTTTAGTTTGCAACTGTAAGGTAAGGAAGGAGCCCTTGGTGAAATTAGAGGAAGAGGGAAATAGAATTAATATCAGTGTTTTGAGCACTTTGTAACATGTTTCAGGTAGATAATTTTTCCTTTTTAATTCTCAAAATCTTTATGTGTATTAGTACAGGTTTGCAGTGCATACTGATCACATTCCTCACGGGAGATCTTAATGCTTCTTACACCCCCACATCTGGTGGTCATTTAACCCTGTCTGTCTATGCCTGCACCACACGAAGGTTCTGCTCCCATTTTGCAGGAAGACGCTCTGTGTGTGGAGGAAAAGTGCCAGCCCAAGCCCTGGCTACCATTCAGGTCAGGGCAACTCCTTTCAGTGGGCAGGGTCTGGGAAGAGGTAGTTTTTGTCCTTAGTAAAGTCTCCAGTGATTTGTAAACATTTTTAGTAGATGGATCCTAGTTGGGTATGGTATCGCACACCTGTCACCCCAACCCTAGAGAGGCCGAAGCAGGAGAATCAAGGACTTCAAGGCCAGCCTGGGCTACATAGTGAGATCAGGGCCACCCTGAGCTACATATAGAGACCCTGTCTCAATAATAATAATAATAATGATAATAATAATAATAATGGTTCCTGGGCTGGGGATTAGGCTCAGTGGCATAAGCACCTGCCTGGCAAGTGCAAGGTCATGAGTTCAATCCTTGGTACCAAAATAATAATATATGGTCCCTAAGCAACCTTCTCTTTAGTAAGAAGGCTGCTTAAAAACAACTTTTACCAGGAATTCCTATTGACATCACGGACTCTGTTGACTTCCTGTGGTGATTTTATTTCCGTGTCCTGGCCACAGCTCGGGCTGCAGCCTTCTTGAGGCTAGGGAAGTGACACACCTGGCCTGTCATGGACTCCCAGCATCTGGCTTTCCCACCAGAGTCAGACATTGTGTCTCTCCTCCGATGGCATCGGCTCCGGTCACTCACATCATCGTGTGTCACAGTGTATCCAGGACCTGGGGTGCAGGATGCTGCCCTGCCCATTCAGGAAAACTCCTGGGCTGGTCCACAGGCAGAGGTGCCAAGTGCAGCTGCCCACTGCCCTGTCTTCCCAGGGACACGCACACTGGGACTTTGCAAGCGTGTGACTTCAGTGGAGGCCCTGGGGACACTCCCTGGTACTGAGCTTCACTGTCGGGGAGGGGGTCTCTTTGGGTTAGGTGTCCAGCCTCCTCCTGCTGGAGCAGGAGTCGTGACACCATAAGCCTCAGAGGTGCCAGCCACTGCTAATGCCAGAGCAGCACAAGCCTGGCATCTGTCCCCAGAGGGGCGGAGGTGAGGCATCTTACCGACCCCATGTGGAAAGGGATGGAGACATCTTACGCTGGCCTAGGTCTTGGTCACCCTTGCTAGGACAAGGCTGGGTGCCATACCCCCTGGGACTCACATTCAAGCTGCTGGGCAAATGATAAGCTGAGACTTAGTTTTTCCATTCAGCTGACCATTAAGGTGATCTGTGTCACGTCATTTCTGGAGAGGTAATAGCCTCCCCTTCCAAGTGGGTTCATGCCAAGATTGTTCCCAGCATTGTCGGAAGTGATGGAATTCTACAAAGGCTGCATCCCAGCTGCCTGGCCTGGCCACGATTGTGCTCTGCCCTGGAGAGGCAGGAAACCCTGCTCAGTTTCCAGGCTTATGTTTGTGACTTCCCAGGTGGATAGAAAAGCCAGAACAAACGCTTCTCCCTTTCCCTGCTAGAAAAGGTGTGTTGCATTGGAGAGAAAAGGGCTCCTGAAGCAAATACACCAAATTCTTTTTGGTTTTTCAAGACAGGGTCTTGCTCTGCAGCCCAGGCTGGCCTTGAACTCACAGCAGTCCTCAGCCTGCCTCAGGCTCTTGAGTGCTCAGATAACAGGCAGGCACCACCATGACTGGAAATTTTGCCACTTTCTTTGTGAAAGTATAATTTTCTAAAATGCTGATGCAGAGCATCAGTCCATAAATTTCCACAGGGTTTAGATTTGAAGAACAGAAGCGTGTTACTGCCACCGGATACTCTCTCAATGACCTTCAGACTCTTACGCTTGTGCTGTCTTTTTCCAGCCTTCAGTGGAACTCTCCCCTTCTTCCCGGTGAGGCTGTCAGCATCAGAAAGCCTGGGGGTTCCCTATCTTGGGGGTTCAGATTCCTCTGTGAGAAAGCAGTCTGTGATTTCCACCTTCCTTATTCTGGACGGTGTCCTGGACTGCGGGCGTCTGTGTGCATGGCTTTGGCATCTTCCTGCGTCCATGATCAGCATCACAGTGAGGACACGCACTTTCCCGTCTTGTGATTCCTCATCGGCCCCCTGAGATCACATGTCCACGGTGCCACGAGTCCACCTTAGCCTCCGTGGTTCTTGTGCTCACTCCCTCTTGCTTGTGCTTGCTGCCTCTGGATCCAGTAACTCAGATCCGTGGCAGAAGCCGAGATGGGCACATGGAAGGCATGGGGGTGTCGCTCCCACCCTGGCCATGGGGACACCTAGGGGATCTGCAGTGTCAAGGCCGCCAAGTAGAGTAGACAGAACGGAACCCCTGCAGGTGACAAGCCCCTCTGCAAAGGGACAGGGCACTACCGCCCGGATCTTTGCATAGAGGCAGGAAGAGAGGGCTCCTTCCCCCATAGAGAGCCCGCCCAACCAGAGAAACCAGCTAAGAGGCTGGAGCCACAGAGAGCAGTGGAGCAGCCCAGGCTGGGGGTGGGGGGCGGGCCTCACGGTGTCTGGGGACAGGGAACAGAGCCTGATGTGGGCATGGTGGCACGCACCTATAATCCCAGCACTCAGGAGGCCGAGGCAGGAGGATCATTACAAATTCAAGACCAGCCTGGGCAACACAGCAAGTTCAAAGGCAGCCTGAACTACAGAGCAAGACCCTGCCTCAAAAAAGTAAATAAAAACTAGAAAATCAAAATCAAGCTCTCTCTGCCCTTTCATATTGTTGGGTAGGCACCAAACTTCCTGTGCATAAACTTTGGCGTCAAACCACAGCAGCAACCCATGCTGATGGGATGCAGGTAGTGCTGGCTCCCCATGGCTGCCTAGAGAGGGGGACCCCAAGAGGAAGTGGTGGCCACACCGTGGCCGGGGTGGGGGGCTTTGGCCTGTGGGGACCCATGATGAAATTCCCTCATAGGTCGCTTGTCCCTATGGATGACTTTGTCCATCAAGCCCTCGGGCCGGATTCCTGGGGGAGAGGTCTCAGCCTGCTTTAAACACTGTCTTTGGTTTATTTTCACAGCAAACCCAAGGAGCCCGTGTTCAGTGCAGGTAAGTATGACTTCACATTTACATGGTGTCCCTGGCTCATGTGAGTGGCCTTACTAAGTGGCCATCATTTATGATGGGGGCAGATAAGCGACAGCTTTCCCAGGGAAAGCAGCTTTGATATCTGTGCCACCAAGTGATGGCCGGCGGTGGAGACGGGGTCAGGAGGCCCCGTGAACTGACCTGAGCCCCGGTCTGCAGCGGCCTGAGATGCAGGAGGCACACGAGGCTGTCTGGGCAATGGCCCCAGCCCCGAGGGAGTTCCCAATTGGACACTTCTGTCACCTTTTTATTCCCTCCTTACTAACCCGGCTCTGCGCCCCACAGGGGCACCGCACCCCCCATTCCAGGAAAGTTTCCGGTGCCTCCAGTTACATAACCGTCTAAATCTGTTTCTCTGCCTATGATTTCCTAGACTGCAAACTAATAGTTCCTGCGTACCTTTCCACAGATCTGTTGGAAGCACAGCTTATGAGACACTGTTTTCTGAGCACGGTGACCCTACTTGAAAGTATACATAAGATGCAAAAAAAAGGTTTTTTTTACAAGTGTGCAACTAGCTCAGTAAATTCATGTAGTTACTCAGTTTTCCATCCCTTTCCCTCCAATCCTGAGACACACTGGCGGTTGTGTGTCCCTCTGCCTGTGCCTCTGTGCTCACGTCATTTCTGGGAAACAGGAAGCCAGGCCCCACGTGAGTGCAGTGTCAGGGCCCCCCAGTGTCCCACGGCACCAGGGGTGGGTATGTAGCAGCCGGCCAGCCCTGGCAGGCTGGCTGGGGAGCCCCCAGCAGCCGCTCCTGCAGCACCCTTGTCTCTTTATCTAGCCCTTCTGTCCCTGTCTCCGAAATCCCAAGGGAAGCGCCGGGTGACGCATTGCAAAGGTAGGCAGCACCCCGAGCCTGAGCCATAGCTCTCTGCCCCTTCTGTGCAGGACGCAGCTCCAAACCAAAGCACTACCTCCCGCCCTGAGTGCGGAGCCCTCTGGCATTTGCATGGTGGGCTCTGCTGTGCGCTGTTGTTTGGATCTCGGCTGATTACTGGCTGAGGAGAGGAATTCTTCTACCCTGAGCAAACCAGGAAGAGAGCTAGAGGGCAGACGCACCCTAGGCATCCCACAGCTGCCACGGCCTTGTGCTGCTGCCGGCTCCTCCCCGCAAGTGCCGATGTGTGCTGTGATCCTAGCCTGAAAAGCATGGCTCTTCCTGGCTGCGCTTTGATTTTTGATTTAGCATCAAGGCCTGGCCTAGTTAATTTCAAACTGTGCCCTGCGTAATCCTCAGCAGGATCCTGAGTCAGCACCTGAGGTGACATCCACAAGCAGGACAGGGCGTCAGGAGAGGGACACCTCTGTTGGGCGAGGAGGACCCTCGAGGGTGGCGTGGCAGCTGGGGCAGTCAGAGCACTCAGTCCAACAACCGAGAGCAGGCAGAGGTCCCATGGCCGAAGCGTGAGCTGAATGCAATCTGGGGCTCCCGGGCTGGCAGCACGATGTGAGATGCCCCAGAGGGGCCTCGAGAGCCTGTGGCCGTGGCGGCCTCAGGTGGCTGCAGCGGGAGAGGTGGCCACCGCACAGTGATTAACCCAGGGGGGCAGCAGCTGGCACGGCGTGTGCGGTGAAGAGCGTGTCCCCGGTCCTTCCTGAATCGCCATGCCTAACACGCAGAGTGCGGGGGTCACACGCGGCCGACCTGTGGTGCCTGCACGCAGTAACATCCAAGGGCGGCGCCCGCTTCATTTGAAGTAACCCTGCATGCGGCACTGTGTGAACCCCGTGGCCCCAGACTCACAAGACTCACTGGCAGCTCTGCGTGTGGCTGCATTACTTCGTGATTTCCCCACCGATTTCCTCTCTGCAAGTGAGTCCCCTGTTGAGTTACGCAGAGGTCTCTGGTTCCACCGCCTGGTTTAAATGCCATTGAGGCTGAGTCCTTCGGCCTGCAGGCAGGCGGTGCGGGAACCGAGCAGAACTCATCCTGGGCTCAGGGGACATCTCCTTCCTCCTACGACGTCCCGAAAACTGGCCAGAGCACCCCAAGTCGTTTTATCTGCGATCCAGAGGTTTCCCCATGTCAATATATTAGTGGTTTTTTTTTTTTCACTTTGCCCCTATAATTCAGTCAAAGTCAGAAGTTATTTTAATAGAAATATCCACTCTCGGAAGTTCTGCTTTTTGGCCCGTTTTCCTCGAGCCTTCTCTTTATTCATGTTCTGTTTCTAGCTTGTCTTCGAGCACTTTCCTTTCCACACCCTCGCAGGCTCTTCTGTGGACCTTGCTTTTTTTCTCTTTGAATCTGCCCAGTGGGAAACAGGCACACAGATTTTACACTTCTATAACACAAACTGATTTAAATACTGAAAGCTACTTTGTAAACTTTGAGATTATGGATACACTCAAGTCAAAAAATTTGAAGTGGATTTTGTGTGTTGTGATTTTTCACGTGGCCCACTTTCTACTCCTGGTGACAAAGTGTGAGTATTGAGAGCTCAAGGAAATCACTGTCAACGTCTACTTCCTTCCTGCCTCTGATGGTTTATGTATTAGCAAACACAACCCAAGCTTCTGTTTCAAGGCATTGAATCTCACGGCTAGCGACTGAGTTTTCTCCTGAGACAGAGCGTAGAACTGACACAGGGTAAAACTCACTTTTTTGGGTGCAGGGAACCGAGCCCGGGGCCTGGCACTTGCCAGGCAGGTGCTGAAAACTTTCACCTCTGCATTGCCAGGCTAGAGAGGAGTACGTTTGTCATCTGCCGTCCGACGCACTGAGTGTGTTGCTGACATCTCTGTTCTTTTTGTAGAAGAAGGGTATGTCAAAATGTTTCTTCGTGGACGCCCGGTGACCATGTACATGCCCAAAGAGCAAGTGGACTCTTACAGCTTGGATGCAAAGGTAGAGCTACCAACCAAGAGGCTGAAACTGGAATGGGTGTATCCTTTCCTCACTGCCTGGCCCGCCACACCACGGCAGCAGCTGATGAACACCGGAAGTGTGCCTGTAAAAGTGTCATAACTTAAAGATCGTAGACATCTCATGAGGTGTTAAAGCATTTTTTTTTTTAAATTTTGTTCTTGTTGAGACAGGGTCTCACTGTGTAGCCCAGGCTGGTCCTAAACTCACAGCAATTCTCCTGCCTCAGTCTCCTAAGTTCTGGGATTATCCGTGTGCATCCCATGTGACATTTTTTGTAAAGAATTTCTTTTTAAAATCTACTTAAACTTTTAAAAATCAAAGCATTGCTAGGTGTGGTGGTGCACACCTGTGATCCCAGCACTCAGGAGGCTGAGGCAGGAGGATCACTGTGAGTTTGAGGCCAGCCTGGGCTACACAGTGAGTTCAAGGCCAGACACAACTGTATAGTGAGACCCTGTCTTAAAAAAAAATCAAAACATTTTACTCTCAGGTCTTAAAAATGTATCTTATACAACTGTCCGTGTGTTAGAGCCCAGCACAGCATCCTAGCAAAGGAGAAACTGCTAGGTATGAGACAGCTGGCTCAGCGTTCCCAAGAGAGGGGTTCTTGTAGTTTCCCTGAAAACATACAGAATGTGAAAAGTAATATGATGGCCACATCGCCGTAATCCTAGCACTTGGGAAGCTGAGGCAGGAGGACCCCTGGGCTACACAGTGAGCTCAAGACCAGCCTGAACTACATAACGAGACTGTGTCTCAAAACAACAGTAAAAAAAATGAGGCTAACCTGTGCTGGTGACAAGGTTTTAGACCCAAACAAAGAACAAAGAGGACCCTGAAAGGAAGGACCAGTGTCCTCCCTGGCCACTGGCGGGCCTTGGGAGCCTGAGTTGAAGGTTTGAGTAAACGGAGCGATCATAGAAGACACTGAATGCCCACTGCTACCTGAAGGAGAGGCTGATAAACATAGTCGACGCCGAGCACAGAGATCACCCTACTGTTTTAAAAAAGGGAAAATTTCTCCCCAAAATCTAGGCCACAAAATCTGAAATCTATCCTAGGACCAGAGCTCTCAAAGCAGGATTGATGGAGGCCACACTGTGAAGAATTTGGAAAAGTGAGCTTCCAGGGAAAACAACTCAAACGCAAGGAGACAGGATCTGAGCAAAGAATTAAGTTAAATTAAGAGTTATTTTTTCTCCCGTGTAACTCAGCGGCTCAGTGACTCCTGCAGAGGAAGCCCACAGAGCCCCTTCCTGGCTGCGGATCATCCGCAGAGCGGACAGAGAGAAGCCTTCCTCGCCTCCAGACCTTTGCCTGGTGGAGAGCCGAGTGTCCAGATGCTTCTCACACAGCAGCTTCTGCACCTGGGTCTGCAGGAATCCCGTGTGCAATGACATGGTCATATCTCTGGACATTTTAAAGAACTGTCATTTGCCTTTCTCCCCCAGTATTCACACTTTCTTTCTTCAGGTCCAGAGGTCACAGGCACTGATTCACCTGTCCCTGTGCAGGCACGTGCCACCAAAGAGTCAGCATCTCTGTCCCAGGTTCCGGCTCCTTACATAGTCAAGTGAAATCTGGGAAACACCCTGGAAATACATTCATTACAGAGCACATTTATTCAGCCAACTTGCTTTCACACCTCAGGAAATGTGAAATAGTAAAATGAGCTCCAGATCACTGCGGGGAGCTGGGCTGTATTTTGCACGCATGCTCCAATGACGTCTTTGTCTCCAAGTAGTCCTTGAGACTGTGAACTATACAGCCCAGAATCACAACAGGAATAATTCTCTTTAGTGAGTGCAGCAAGGCGGACCTACGTTTATTCTCTGACACATACCGATGTGTGACTTGTACTCCTTATGAGGACTTTTACCGCAGTTTTAAAGTTTTCCTCCTGTAGTAAAAGATTTAACTTTGAATCACAATTTTTAAAAAAGACTCATAGTTGACTCAATGATTTTTTTAAGGAATACCCCAAATCTTTGTATAGTTAAAAACATGTATTCTCATTCCTAACCAACCGTTCCCGACTTCATCACCTGCCTTCTGGGTCGGGGTTTTGGGCCAGGGTATTTGGACTCTAACATTATTTCAGCCTGAAACAAGCAAGGCTGGGGCTCTGTGGGCTGAAAAGGAAGTGGGTTTTACCTTGACGAGTGCAAAGCTATGGGTACCGGGGCCGCGACTGCCGGAACAACCTGTACCTGCTGCCCACCGGCGAGACCGTGTACTTCATCGCCTCGGTGGTGGTGCTGTTCAACGTGGAGGAGCAGCTGCAGAGGCACTACGCCGGACACGATGATGACGTCAAGTGGTGAGTGCTGGCCACGATGGCTGCCCGGGGAGGGGCCACCAGGGGCAGCGAACTCAGAACGGAGCCAGCTGGTCTCCCCGGGAAGCGCTCTGCTGTGTCCTCTGCTGTCTGCCGGCTCCTGGCCCTGTGGGCCACTTTGTGCTCAGCTCTCTGTCCCCACAGCATGTCCATCTGTGTAAACACCTCCTGGACACACCCCGAGCTGAGGGCTTGTAAACTGGGCTGGAGCTTTTGCTGAGAAGTTAAACAGTGTGCTCCGTGTTTCTGCACCCTGCTCAGTCATGGCTGGTGGAGGAACCACGGAAGGGCGGGTTTGTGAACCCACAGATTCGGGGATTTATTTGCCCAGCTCCCTGGTCAGTGATCAAATTCCTGTTGGCAGAGGCTGCGCTGCCTTTCCCATTTAACACCCTCAGAACGACTTCTCAGTGAAGGGCGCGTGGACTGATTCAGTGGCTGTGACATGGAAGCCTCTTAAAGGAAGCCTTCCTAGCAAAGTTTGGAAATTCTCAGTAAGAAGTTAAAGGATTAAGAGGCAGTGATGTTGGACACAGTGGCAGATGGCTGTTATTCCAGCACTAGGAGGCTGAGGCAGGAGGATCGCTGCAAGTCCGAGGCCAGCCTGGGCTACAAAGCGAGCTCAAGGCCGGCCTGAACTGCAGAGCAAGGCCCTGTCTCAAACAGACAGAAACAAAAACAAAAGGTGGTGAGCTAGGCCCGGGTCACCTGAAGCGGATGGTGTTTGGGGACTTGGTCCTGAGTCCGCACAGGTTAGGCAATGCAGTCTCTTGTTTTAAGTTCTCGATCCAATTCCACTTGATGGGGGAGAGTAAGGGCACCTCTGGAACCGCGTATCTCATGCTTGTCCTTCCTCAGCCTAGCAGTTCATCCGGACAGGATCACCATAGCCACCGGACAGGTCGCAGGCACCTCCAAGGACGGAAAGGTGGGTGCTGGTGTCTTTGTGTCCGTGTAACAAACCGGCCTCCTGAGAACGCCGCAGTCCCGAGCCGGCCTGCTCAGGTGTGGACGGCGTCCAACTGCCTCTGCCCCCGCGCTAGGTCAGAGACGTGAATGTTACAGGTTGCACCTCTCCCGTCACAGCGGCCTTTAACAATGAACCCTCTCCTGAATTTCAGGAGAGTTGGTGGAACTGTAAAAACCCAGAACAGTTCAAAATTGGCTTCCCATTGTTTTTCTGCCAGTCTTGTGTTTTCACATCCTATCAAACTCCTCTTAGCTTTTTTGACATCTATTTTTGTGTAGCTTTTGACCACACTGGTCACATTAAGTACTTTCATGTTTATCAGTGTTTTCCCTCAGAAACCATGAAGGCCACTGTAGAGAAAATATTTTAGTAAGATCAAATTTTAAATGGTAACCTTATCCTATTTTTCATTAGAATCCTACCTGGACAAGAAGCAATAAAAATAATAGAAACTGGACTTCTGCTATGTAAACTCGTGTAACTGGAACACGTGCTCACCTTTAATTCCATGCCCATGAAAACATCTTTGAAATTAGCACTGAACCCTTTGTTCTGCTCCTGTCACTTTAAAGTGTATTTCAGACTCCTTTGATCCTAGCACTGGAGGTGGGGGGAGAGTCACAAGTTCAAGCCCAGCCTGGGGAACTCAGTGCACTCCTAAGAGCTGGAGATGCATCTCAGTGTGGGGGTGTGGGGGTTCATCCCATGACCGGACACCAAGCTCCTTAGAGACCCAGTTTACCCAGTGCCCTGCTGTCTGCCTTTCTTGATGATGAGATGCTTTCTTCTATATGAGAAAAACCAGGAATGCTAGCTAACCCAGGACACAGCTGAAAAGGATTTTGAACAAATTATAACAATCGTCGGGTGTGTGTGTGTGTGTGTGTGTGTGTAATTAAATTGCCTGTTTGGCTCCTGTGGACCAAGGAATGTCAGGCTCTTCCTACTGTTTGGTACTATCTGTTTGCATGAAGTTGGACCTGAGGACACCCTTACACCCAACAGACTTTAAAGCACAGTGGATACCATCTCATCTCTGACACCTGGAACTCAGGAACACATCTGGATCCCCAGAGCAGGCTGGTCTGGGTTTAAGACTCAGCGGGCCTCTCTTAGTGGTTCAGGTGGCCCCGTGGCACAGGCCTCCCAAGGATCACGTCGCTTACATGGAGAGACAGGCTCCTCCAGTGTGGACAGAGGCCCTTGTTCTGCACAATCGCAGATCCTGCCTAGGGAATCTTGCAGCTTCAAGGTAGAGAGGGATTCGTGAACCACCACAATTGATGACTATTTTTTCCCCCAAAACAGCAACTGCTTCCCCATGTGCGCATCTGGGATTCCGTGACGCTGAATACACTGCACGTCATCGGGAAAGGCTTTTTTGACCGGGCTGTCACCTGTATTGCATTTTCAAAATCTGTAAGTGTGTGCCCCATGGGTGTCACAGCCTAGAGCTACACTGTGGAGGGGAAAAGTCTGGAGGAAGAGTTTACTGCCCGGGTGCGTGTGGAATTCACACTCTGGGTGTTCCCAGCTTCCTGGGTCAGGCCATCAGGGATACACACTTTCAGGAGCATCTCTGGCCTTGTGGATGTGGGGAATAAAGGAGCCTCAGGTCCCCAAGTTGTTGTCATCTTGTGGTTTAAAGCACACATCTGATTTGACCTTGAGTGCCACCCACACCACAGGTCTCTATATCCTGACCGGGGCTGCATCCTGCTCTCTGCACACAGGGACGGAGGAGGGTCAGGTCCCAGGCTCCCCACAGACCCACACTTGCTGTGTGTTACACCACGTCCTTATCCACATCAGACCCTTTCTTCACACGCTGTGTTCGATTGGGGGCCCCACACCCGCTCTCTGTGGCCTTGCAGCACCATCCTACAGTAGCCGTGTCCACAGCTGGCGACATAGCCCTGGGCTGTGCCTGCCGAGGGCACAGTTCCGGGGTATCAGGGCCACTGAGCTCCTGGTTTTCCTGGAACCTGACAGCAAAGAGCCTTGCTGTCCATGCCTGTCCCCTCGTGGCCTCAAGCTCCCCCGCTGTCCCTGTCCAACCTAGCAGGCAGGCTCAGCGGGGGCAGGTGGGCTTCACAGTGTAGCAGACTCTGCCAGAAACGAGGTGCATGCTCGCCTGAATTGTGCCTGACGCGTTGTATTCTCAATGCAGCCTTCTTGTGGACACCTCTGTCTTTCAGAACGGAGGAAGCTACCTCTGCGCTGTGGACGACTCCAATGACCACGTGCTGTCGGTGTGGGACTGGCAGAAGGAGGAGAGACTGGCCGATGTGAAGGTCTCGCCCAGCCCTCATGCGTGTGGCAGAGTCACCTCCCCCACAGGGCCGACTCCCAGCAGGCTCCGGGGCCACCTGTCCTAGGGTCACCCCTCCACCTCAGGGTCTGCCGGCCCCGCCCTGCCCCCGGTGGAGCTGTTCCTGAGTCCTCCTGTCTTTCCTTCCTCACCTGCACCCGCTCATCTATTTGTTCACTGTTTCCTTCATCATTCAGATCCCCAGTGCCCACCACGACACCGTGCAGTGGGGGCACCATGGAGGTGGGCACCTGCACCCTGAGGTTTATGGGGCCCTGCCACCCGCAGGGGTCTCCTTCACAGCTCAGCAGACCCTGAGGGACAGGGAGCCGGGCCCTAAGTCACCACCACCATCCCCTTTAGCCTCCTCTGGCTGCCTTGGTTCCCTTTTGCAAAACTCTTCCTATGCAAAGCCAGTTCCCTAAGCTTTGTTTTCTCCCATTGACGTCATCCCTGGATTCCTATTTTTGTAGAATCAGCTTCAGATTTCTCATCTTAGCATGTGTTAACCTTAGGTAACACTGCTTATCTAACTTTAGAAACACCATCAGATAACCTCAGGTGTCCGATGTGAGAATTACCATCAGGTAACTCAGGATCACCAGGAGATAGCCGGAGTGGGCAGCCTTCTCTCTCGTGCAGGGCAGAAGCTGGCCCTGTATTTCCTGTCACTCAGAAGCCCTGCTTCTAATGTTCTGGGCTTCTAATGTTCTGTAAGGTCTTCTCATGATACTCCAAGGCTGGAAGTAAGCAAAGACAAACTGTTTCCTGGGTTCAAACACAGAAGTGGATTACACTAGAAGGACACTCAGGGCCAGATTTAGCAGACTAGGGTGCAGGTCCTGGATGGAGGTCAGGATTGGGTTGAGAGGTGATAAAGTGGCTGCCAAAGAGCCAGATCCAGCACACGACATCTCAAAGGAGCCACAGGAAGTAGAGCCAGGAAGGGCTCTGGGGAAGCAGCAGCTGCCGTTGGCTGGGAGGAGTGGGAAATGCAGATGCCCAGGCCCTGACTCAGAGGGGCCAGTCACTCTGTGGGGGTGAGGCCTGGCATCTGCACTGGGGCATCCGCCAGGTGCCTCCATTGTGCAGGGTACCCAGCACTGGGAGACAGCATGACTTCTCCTCCAGCAGATCGCACAGCCAGCCCACTCTGGCTCCCTGTCCGAGGGGCCCTCGGCCCACAGCACAGACAGAGCGGGGCAGAACTTTATGTGAGATTCATTCAGTGGGGAAAAACCCAGAGTCCTGGTGCCTGGCGTGAATGAGATTTTGATCTGTGATTCCTAAGTGATTTCCTAAGGGATTCGAGGCGTTGGGTTCTCCTGTTTTTCCTAGTGTTCGAATGAAGCGGTATTCGCCGCGGATTTCCACCCCACGGACACCAGCATCATAGTGACCTGCGGAAAATCCCACCTGTACTTCTGGACGCTGGAAGGAAGCTCCCTTATTAAGAAACAAGGATTGTTTGAGGTAAAAGCTGAAATCCATTCTTTGCCTGAGGGAAATAATGGGCTGCTAGATGCTAAGAGAGCACTCACCGCTGCCCACGGTCTTAGCCGCTGTTTTAGTGGCAGACGTGAGCGTACATCTGGGGAGGGGGTCAGAGGCACGGACACCCTCTGGGTCCCTCACACAGCTGGGAGCCTGGCAGAGGCTGCGGCCCACGGAGGGCAGAGCTTGCCCACCGGGCAGCTCCCTGCTTGGCGCAGGCAGGTGCCGAGGGGATGGGGAATGCGTAGCCTGTCTGCACACTCTGTCCCTTCCGGCTGCAGCCTTTCCTAGACTCACTTAGAAGCCCCTTTACCCTGGTGTGGGCTCTGTTCTGTATTCCACACTCACAACCGTACAGGCGCCCCCCAGTGCCCTCCCACACCCCTGTGTGTGAACTGTCTGCAACTTTGGGATCCCTCAGCCACTTGGAGTTGCCAGAAACACGTGATCTCACAGTGTGAGGCAGATAAACTCGAACGGCAGAAGCTGCTAGGACTCCAGCTTCCACTGCAATTGCGCCCGCTCTCAGTATGAATGCAAGGACGACCCCATTAAATGTGTCTGCATTTACTACATTCTGCAGAAACAAGAGAAGCCAAAGTTCGTCCTCTGTGTGACGTTTTCTGAAAACGGTGACACCATTACTGGAGATTCAAGTGGCAACATCTTAGTATGGGGAAAAGGTAACAGGCGGTTATTCCCTAAGCTGGTATTTTGGGTAATGTTTCATCAAAGGTAACTTCTGTGTGAATTATCGCTTACCAGAATTTACAAGGGTGCTGGCAGATCCCAAGGGGTGTGTGTGTGACTTGAAACCATAAAACTAGAAAACTGGTCAGTGGTGAATTACTGACTGTCGGTACTGAGCGTCCTCTTTCTGCGTGTCTTTATGAGACGCTACCGTAGTACAGCGAAGCTGCTGCTGCTCGCCATCTAACAGAAAACGAGGCTCAGAAAAACCCGGCACTGTGTCCTCAACTGCCTTAGTCACTGGATCTGGCACCGTGCAAACTTCCAGCTCTGCCCCGAAATCCAAATGACCATGCGGGGTCAATGTTCTGACCCGACTGAAGACATCAAGGGAGCTATGGCGGTGCAGCTAAAGACACTCGTGAAAGAGGCCCCGCAGACCTGCTGCGGAAGGCGGCAGGAGCAGTAGAGAGCTGTGTTCAGAGGGACGAGGGGGCTTTTGAGGGGGCTTCATGGCAATGTGTCTTTTACTCTAATACATTTTTAAAAGTTAAACATCCGCATATATTTCTGTGCACCTCGAATATCATTCTAAAAGGCTCTTTATCATTCTGAAAGGCCAGGATATTATGAGGGAATTAATAGCTCATTAGGAGCCCTCTGAACAAATCACAGTGATGAGTAATTAATGACTACGTATACGGCCATAAAATATTTAAGCGACTTCCTATGCACAGAGCACTTGGCAGACATCTACTGAGCTAATTATGTGTGCTAACCTCAATGGGTCAGAGCCAAGGCCCTCTGTCAGCGGGTAGTTCGAGGAATCTGTCATGAGAAACGTGCTGGGTGCGGGCTGTCGGGCTCTGGGGCAGCAAGGGTTCCCCGTCCTCAGAGGTCCAATGGGTTGGGGTGCAGGTGGACACAGGCCAACAGGTGTACTAATATCACAACACTAAGATGACTTTATCCCACCGCCCTCGGGGCACTTAACCCTCAGCCAGGCCTCCGGGACAGGTCAGGCGCTAATGATGGTGGCTTTCTGCACGTATTTAGGTACCAACCGGATAAGCTGTGCGGTTCAGGGGGCCCACGAGGGTGGCATTTTTGCACTTTGTATGTTAAGAGACGGCACGCTGGTGTCAGGAGGAGGGAAGGACCGGAAGCTCATCTCCTGGAACGGAAACTATCAAAAGCTTCATAAAACCGAGGTAGGTTAGCGGGCACCACCACGGGAATGCGTTCAGAACCTCAAGCCTTGATCCCAGCCAGTCTCCATGTTTGTCTGGAACCCTTGGCTTAGGGTTTCGAAAACTGGCAAGATGAAATTGCATGAGGCATCATATTTTTATTAAAATCATAGAGGCCATTTTCAACTAAAATGACATTCTCTACACTTAGAACGTCTCTATACTAGAACCAGTCTTAATTGGTTTCCCAGGGGATTTTAATTGTGTCTAGGGCCTGCTACGCACATTTTATCATTTGGATTTCCTCTCAGCAGCTTCCTCTCCTCTCTCCCCATGTATGCGTGCATGCACACATGTCGGTGTTACTGAAAATTGAATCCAGAGCCTCACATGCCAAGCTAGCACTTCACCACAGAACATCCCTAGTCCACTTTATCTGCAGACAGGATTCCCCTAGGTTGCCCAGGCTGACTCAAATTTACCCTCCTGCCTCAGCCTCCCCAGAGGCAAGCTACTTGGACAACTGAGTGAGACGGTGTCTTAAAACAGGAGGCACCAAAATCACAGCTCGGTGCCACGGAGCCCAGCTCTGTAGGTATGCCAACGGGTATTATCTGTCACAGGAGCTATCGGGTGACACATCAATGGCTAAGTTTAGTATGTGAGCTAACACTTAATGGACTCTCACATCCTTCTCTTCCGTGACCCCTCACAATGCAGATTCCCGAACAGTTCGGCCCCATACGGACAGTGGCCGAAGGCAAGGGCGATGTCATCTTAATAGGCACAACGAGAAACTTCGTCCTGCAGGGCACCCTCTCGGGGGACTTCGCACCCATCACTCAGGTGTGCTGCGGCTCGGCAGGGCTGCCACCCACTTCTGCCTGCCTCAGGGAGGATGTTGCCGGTGCCAAAAGTAGGGGTCCCATCGTGGTCACGCCGGGTGACCTTGCCCAACTCCAGGGCTACCGTGGCTGCCTTGGGTTAGGCCGGGGAGGACCCAGAACAAGGGACAGAGTGTAGCCCCTGGGGTCAGCTGTGGGGTCTCAGGAAGCCCTTGCATCATGGTTCTTTGTAGGGTCACACGGACGAACTCTGGGGTCTGGCCGTCCATGCCTCCAAGCCCCAGTTCCTGACCTGTGGGCACGACAAGCATGCCACCCTATGGGATGCTGTTGGTCACCGGCCTGTTTGGGACAAAATCATCGAGGTAAACGTGCACACGACATTTGCAGGTGTAGAAATTTGTCTGGAACATCCATGTTCATTTTCTGTGCAACATTAATAGTGACATGAAGTTGCCTCTGAGCCAACAACGTGATTTCCTCTTAGATCCACGTAGCCTTTGTCACTGCTGTGAGTGACCTCGGCTGCTACCTAAGTTCTCCACTACGAGCTGGTTGTCAGGGTTCTCAAGTGAAGTCCTTTGGCTGACTTGAGTCCTGAAAATGCTTGTTAGGAATGAAGAGCCAGCACGCCATTTACGGCTGCCTCGTGAATGAGAATTCATAAGCCGTATGCACGGGCAGCTCACAGGCTAACGAGGAGTAGCTGCCTTTGTCCTCAGGCTGAGGACCTGTATTTTTCATTGGCCTTGATTTTCCTGATGCGAAGTTGAGGCTTAAGTAGGTTAAATAACGAGCTCTGATCACTCAGTTAGCGGGTATCAGAGACAGTGATGAACCTGGCTCCATCTGACTCCCGAATCCAGGCTCTGTGTGGGGCTCATGGTGGATCAAGGCCATATGCAGGCTGCTGGGCCCCTCCGAGAGCTGAACAGCAGCCTTTTACCCCCAAAGTCGCTGGCATTTTCTAAGTGCTGGGCTGGGGTGTCCATCCTAGCCCTGTGTCCCTGCTCTGGAAGCTTTGGACAGGGTCACTTTAGCCCCTAACTGTGTGAGCTCAGATGAATCAGGACACAGAAGACTCGTTTAGTGAACCGTAAAGGGCGAGGCTGCCAGGGCAGCCCTGGGCACGCAGCACCCCCTGAGGTAAAGCAGTAAGCTGGGGTCCTCCATGTGTCCAGCTTCTCTGGGAGCCTCTCCTCTGTCCCTCCGTCTCCCTCTCCTTCAATGGGCTTTCAATGGGCTCTGCACTGTGCACAGGGCCAGCCAGGGACCAGACATATGGACCACAGCGTGAACCAAGAACACAGGTCTGTGTCTGTCCTCTGATGGCTACAGATGTGAAGGGACATAGGACAGGAAGAGAAAAAAACCCAAAAGGACAATGATTTAATGTCCTCAGAGTGAGATTCGCATCCAGGTGGGAAGCCCCCTCCTGTCTGGAGAGAAGAGAGGCTTTCAGAGGACCCGTGCAGCCCAGGACACAGCGCGGTGCGGGTGGGTTGCGTGCGGCAGCGCTGTACTTGGCCATGAATTTACACTTCCTTTACAATGTTTTAGGATCCAGCTCAGTCTTCTGGTTTTCATCCTTCAGGGTCTGTGGTTGCAGTCGGAACACTCACTGGGAGGTAAGTGGCCCAGCAAGGCCTGGGCTCTCTGAGCTACGGACAGGAGCTCGCTGTGTTTGTCAGGGACGGGGCAGGACTGCTGGGGGCCCATCTGTCTGCCCTGTTGGCGTGCGGAGAATTGGGCCAGAGCTCAACAGTGAGGCTTAGACAGAGGTCCCTCCCGGTTTGAACCTGGGGCAAATGTTTAGAAAGCATGCACCCTGTCTCCTGCAAAAGTGCTCCCTCCCCAAATCCCCCCCTGCCCATCTGCCCCAACTTCAGGGGCCCTAAGATCCCCATGGGGCTGCTGGGTGGAAGAAGCCTGGTTCCAAAGCACTGAGACTGGAGCTGCATGTTCCAGCCACCCTTGGCAAGGGCCCAGCTGCCTCTTCACACTCAGCCAGTGCATATTTACTGACCACTTCCAACACACCGGGCCTTAAATCTGTGTCAGGACCCCACTTTGACATTGACGTGGGGTCTTTGAGACACTCACATAAACTCTGAACTTGTCTCTTTTTCTGTGAGGATAACACTGTCTGTGGCACAGATGCCTGAAGGAGGGGACTGACACAGAGCACCAGCCAGGCTGCCTGGCAGGCGACAGCAATGGCTGGAACTGTCCATGCTTGGCAAGGCCCGGTTGTACCCCCAGGCTGTGCATCACAGAATAGCAGTCCCTTGCCCTTGGGGGGGACCCAGCAGATGGCTCGGGCCCCACATGCACCATTTTCTCCTACATGTTCACACCTGAAGAAAGCCTCCCTGATAAATCAGATGTAGTAAGACGTCAGCCGTAGCTAATGATAAAATAGGACAATTCTCACAGTAAACTGGAGCAGAAGCTGTGTGGAGCTACTCGGAGGCTTCTCTCTTTGAAAACACTTGCCTGTCCTAGGCTCCCTTCCCTGTCCAGTGACAACATAAGATGACATTGTGCCTGCCCAGTGAGACCCAGCGTGGCTAAGGGTGCACACTTTAAAAAGAGTGAGCTGCTTATTTGGGGCATTTTCCATGTACTATCTATGGACCAAGGTTAACCATGGGGAGCTCAAACCACGGATAAAGGAAGTACTTATATGCATTTTCTGTGGCTGCACTCAGAGGGTTTCTGCTGTCTCCCACATCCTTGCTCTCTAGAAAGTGTACCACTTGGAGTCTGTAGCTGTGAGTGCAGAGTTTATGCAGCGTAACCGCTCCTAAGTGGTGAGTAGCAAAGCTGAAGAGTCAGGTTCCATGGACCCACATGCACCCCCTGCCTTCCATTTGGCTCACCTGGAGACAGCAGAAGCTGAGAACTCAGTAGCCCCCACCCTCTGGGGGCTAGAGGACAGCCTGACTGACAGACAGACAGATACCTGCTGTCTAATCCCACCCCTCCGGGGTGCCTCTGCATCGTGTGCGGTTCCAGGGCCAGGTGCTCCCAGCACTGTCCCTTTCTTAGGCAGAGTCTCATCAGCCCCAGTCTATTTATTAATGCTTGGGCCTTGGTTACACTCAGATAATGCATTAAGAGTGAGTGGTTGTCAAGATTTGGGAAATCAGAGCTGAGAAGCACATCCTGAGCCAGGAAGTTGCAGCCAGAAGGAGAGGCGAGCAGGCAGGAAGACCCCGCTGCGGTGGCCATGGGGTGGCACTCGTGCCACCCAGGTCTGAAATCACAGCAGTGGGGCGCTATATGCCCTCCGTCCCTAAATACATTGGGGTCTGCTCACTGCCGCCACTGAGAGTTCTGCACTCAGTGTGAGTGCTGAGCCTCTGGGGTCCTGATGACAGCCAGGCCAACAGACACCTGGTGGCTGCCTGTGTGTGTGGTGGTGACAGCACTCGGTCCCAGTTTCATCCTAGGGGTGCACAAGGCAGCAGCACTGGTAACCTTATCCTGCCCCATCAGTGCCTCTGCAGCGCAGTTGCAGGGCCAGGTGCCCCTGGGCCACCTCATCCAGGACACGACTGCATCCACATCCATCCTGGGTTGACATGCGCCTCTGAAGGAGACCTGACCTTTCACCCATTGCTACAGCAGTGAGATCAAAGGCCAGCCTCCCTGTCACCTCCTGCCACACTCGCCATTCTTCCATCCACCCCTTCAGTTGCTCACCAGCTTTCCTGGAAGCTGCAGACGCTGCAGCCAGGAGCGCCAGTCCCTGGGGCCCAGCTGCTCACCAGCACCCGTCCACTGCAGCCCGACAGGGACAGCCCCTGCTGACAGGGACAGTCAGCAGCCTCGTGCCCCGGACTGTCTCCCTCCTCGTGCAAACCAACACTCTCCCTGAGAAGCCCCCAAGTAGCTTCACATGCCAGGCAGGATGTGGTTCTTCTCCCTAGGAAGCGTTTGCACCCAGGAAACCTGCTCTGAGGGGCAGCCGGGAACAGGTTTCCTGGCTAAGCACTCATAGACCACCCGGCCCTCCAGCCCGGTGGCGGCTCGCTTTCGGCTGCAGTGGGGTCATTTCCTTTCCACTCAGGGGCTCACACGTGCTTTCTCATGTTTAAACAGGTGGTTTGTGTTTGACACGGAGACAAAAGACCTGGTCACGGTGCACACGGATGGGAACGAGCAGCTGTCTGTCATGCGCTATTCTCCAGGTTAGAGAACTTTGCTCCCTAAATCCTGACAGGGCTAGCGAGCCTGCACGGCGTCCTTAGAGAAATAACTTCAACTGTCCTCGGAGTGAAATTTCAATTACACATGCACATAGGTAGTTGGGGTATTCGGGGCTTTCATGGAGCCCTCTTTTTTTTTTTTTTTTTTGTCTTTTTCCTTTTAATCGGTACCGGGGATCGAACTCATGACTGCCTGCTTGCAAGGCAGGCGCTTTATGCCGCTGAGCTAAATCCCCAGCCCCCAGAGCCCTCTTTTTTTAATTTTGAGATCTGATCTAAGTTACCAAGTTGCCCACGCTGAGCTGAAACCTTCGATCTTCCTGCCTCAGCCTCTCAAAGTGCTGGGATGAGAAGGGTATGCCACTATTCCTGGCCATCTTTTTTTTTAACTTAATGCAGTCTTCTAAAATTTTATTTTCATTTTGATGCAGTCCAGTTTATCGATTTTTTTTCCCATTTATGGATCAGACCCAAGTTGCTGACATTCTCCCCATGCCTTCATCTGAGAGGGTTGACTGAGCCCTCACATTCAGGTCTGGGGTTCACCTTGGGTTAACTCTGCTGCATGCGGAGAGGTAAGAGTCAGGGTTTGTGCTGCAAATCACGCCCGGTTTCCCCACACCATGTATGGAAAAGCTTGCCCGCCCCCACGAACTGTCAACGCTGTTGTCCAAGGTGGATCACCTGTAAGGCAAAGGTCCCTGTCCTGGGTTTATCCTGTGCTGTTACACTCTGCAGAGAGTTGGAACTAACTACTGTAACTCCTCCAAATTTGTTTTATTTTCCACAATTGTTCCGGCTATTCTAGGTCCTTAATGTAGATAAAACTTTATATAAGTTTTAAGACCAGCTTGTCAATTGCTAGTTTTAGAAGGCCTACAAATCACGTGGGGAGAATTATCACCTTGATTACTGATGTTGCATCTTCTAATCCATGAACATGTAGTGACACTCCACTGATTTAGATTTTAATTTTTCTCATGATCATTTTGCCGTTGTGTTTGTTTTTGCAGCACTGGGGATTGAACTCAGGGCCTTTGCTTGAAGTTCCTTCTTCACTGATTGGTTGATGGGTAGATCGGTTGACTGAAACCACATCTCCCTAAGTAGCCCAGACTAAGCTTAAACTCACAATCCTTCTGCCTCAGCTTCTCAGAGCACTGGGACTATAAGCATGCGCCCACTTCAGCTTGTTTTATAATGTTTGATACACAATTCTTGCATTTCCTTTTTAAAATTTATTGCCATGTCTTTCTTTGATGTTGTGAATGGAGTTTCTTTGAATTTTCTTTGCAGATAGCGAGTTACTAGCATAAGCAAGTAAAATTGAATTTTGCACATTGATCTTATCTCCTTTAAGCTTTCTAAAGTACTACTAGCTTTAGAAGGTTGTTACATGTGCAATCCTTGGGGTTTTCTTCACGTAGGATCATGTCATTCAAAAATAAAAACAGTTTTAGTTCTTCCTTTCTAATCGGGATGCCTTTAGTTTTTTTTTTGTTTATTTGTTTGTTTTTTTCCTTTATTGCATCAGCTGATCCCTCCAGGAAAATGGTAACAGAAATGGCAAGAATGTGTCCCTTACCTTGCTCCCGGTCTCTGGAGAAAAAATGTTTGGTCTTTCACCATTAATGAAAGGGTGCCCTCTACCATGATGAAACAGTCTCCTTCTGTTCATAACTTGCTTAGAGTGATCATGAACGAGTGCTGGAGCTTGTCAGATGCCTTTTCTGCACCTGTGGTGATAATCATGTGTCTTTGTCCTTTTTAAAAAATATATGGAGCCGGGATACAGCTCAGCAGCACAGCACCTGCCTGGCAACCGGGAGGTCATGAGTTTGATCCCTGGTACCAAAAAAAAAAAAAAAAAGAAAAGAAAAATGTATTACATCAATTTCCTAACCAACTTTACCTTCTTGTGATAAATCTTACTTGATCTTAGCATATCCCCTTTATGCAGTGCTAACTTCTGTTCATTTACATTCTGTGGAGGGTTTTTGTAATCGTATCTTCAAGGAGCAGGAGTCTGTAGTCTTCTTGCCATGTCTTTGTCTGACCGGTGACGGCACTTACCGGTCTCATAGGTTGTTTTTGTTAAATATCTGATAGAATTCATGTAAGTTCAGTGGAACCATCTGGGATTTTCTTTTTGGGAAATCTTTAAGTGGCTAATGCAATACCTTCACTTATTATAAATCTCTTCAGATTTGCTCTTTCTTGACTCCATCTGATAACATGGATCGATTCCATTTAAGTTGTCTGTTTTGTTGTCATAACTTGCTCATAATATTCAGTTATAATGTTTGAAGTTTTTCTGAGATTGGTTGCTTCCTTCGTGATTCCTCACCCAGACAGACAACTTTGCAGCCACCAGGAGCCCCCATGGGGTGGTGGAAGGAGCTTGCTCAACCCAGAACGCCTTCCGCTTCGGTTTCCAGGGTGTCTTAGCCCTTTCTGCCGATCCTCACCAGTGCCCCCGGTGCTTAGATGCATCTCACCCTTGCCTTGGTTCATCTGAACCTCCACAAAGTGCAGGAGGGGCCGCCTCTGCCGTCTTCAGCTCCTGCTCGTTGAGGTCTCAGTGAATGTGTGTCCCTTTCCTCTCAGTGATGCTAGTGACAAACCCCAGGGACCAGAGAACAGGCAGCAAAGGGCAAAAGAGGGACCCTGGGCCACCGCCAGGCAGCCTCAGGATTCAGGCCAGCTACCATACTGCTGTGAACTGACTGCAAGAGGAGTCAGCACTGTGTCCCTGAAGGAGGCACTCTGCAGATGGCATTGGACCAGGGCAGCAGGGCAGCCCCAGCAGCAGGCAAAGGGCTCAGAGCCTCAGGGAGCAGCTCAGGCCGCAGCATGGTGGGGACCCACCTGGCTCAGTGCTGGGCACTCAGAGTGGTACTCCATAAATCTCGGAGGCTTGAGCAAGTCTCTACGTAACCAGCTACTAGTTGCAGGGAAGAATGTGGCCAGCAGTGTGGCTTTTCTAGTTGCATCCAGGATTTCTCCTTAGTTGATTCTTGGCTCCTTTTTGGATTCAAATATTGACAGACACCACATGCTGAAAACAGAAAAAGTATTAGATACCCACACACAGACTGGCATTGACATGGAATCTAAGAAGCTGTTGCTGAATTCCTAGCCGAGAGCCAGAGTCCGTATCCCAAGGCTACCTGGCCATAGGATGCAAAGAGGAGCCGGCTTTGGATCATGAGGGTTTCATCTTCCTCACTCAGATTCAGGAAAGTTCTGGAAAGTTCTGGACTTCTTCAGTCTGCTAGGAGAGAAGCTGGCAGTTCTGGAGCTCTCCCAGGATGCAGGGTGACACTGGTTAGTGTGATGCAGGTTCCTAACTGTGCCCAGTAGTTGTCCTTACCCTCAGGGGTGTGGGCAGTCCTGACCCCTGCCATAGGCGAGGGGCTGTACAGCGATCCTCAGAAAAGAGGGACTGCTGCCAGAATCCTTTTCAAGGTGGATTTTAGGTGAGCGAGGGGCCCTGGGGCCGAGGAGTTACCTCACAGTAACCTCATAGTTCAACCACGTCAAAACTTGGGCAGCGGGCTGCAGAATTAAATCCTCCCGACTTCCTCCATTGTGTGAGCACCTCTGGGGAAGTCCCTGGTTCAGCTGCTCCTCCATCACTCACCTCTAGCTGTGAGACATGGCTCAGGAAGATGGCTGGTGGTTACAGGAGCCTGACAGTAGGCAGGGTCCCAGGGTGGGCAGTGTAGGGGCAGGGGATGACCCTCGGCACCGAGAGAATTCCTGTGGGAATGGTTTAGGTCTAGCTGGCCCTGAAGCCTCAAGCCCTGGAAGGTAATCAGATTATGAGGCTGATAGCTGACTTGGTACTGGGAGGTGGGGTCTGGCTGGAGCAGGCGTCACTGGGGGCATGGCCTGGAAGGGTTCATCCTCCCTTCCTGGCTCTGCCCTTGACTCTACTTCCTGCGCACCATGCTGTGAGCGCTGTCTTCTGCCACGACCCTCTGCCATGGCACCCTGCCTTGGAGCCAACCAACTGTGGCCTGAAATGTGAGCCAAGATAAACTCCTTCCTTTAAGTTGTGGCTGTCAAGTATCCTGTCCCAGCAATGAACAAGTGACTAAGCCACCATCTAATACCCCTCTCAGTCACGTTTTACCAACTCTTTTTCCCTTATGAAGTCTTTTACATAAGACAGTCTTATGCTAATGCGCTGTTATTTTTGAAACCACAGTCAACTAGGATGGCTGGCAGAATGTCAAGTGTAGTCGTGACAGTTCTCACACGACAGCCATATCAGAAACCTTATAGACTGGACAATATGGAGCTCTGATTGGATTAAAATTCTGGCATTTCTTAAAGAGGACAGGAGCAGGAAGAACGTCCTGAAGTGTATATTAAACCCAGCGCACATGCTCAGCCTGCTCCTCCTGGTGCCTGTCACTGAAATGAGGGTGTAACCCTGACCAGGCAGGGAAGAGGGGCCAAGTGCCATCGGCCCTACAGCTGGCTCTGTGTCATGTCATCTTATCCACAGTGCTGAAGTGTGGGTTTTTGCTTTTACTGGAGTGAATCAGAATCTGGTACTCATCCCTATGTAATTTGCAGCATCAAACCAACCCTCTTCTGTCTGAGCCTGAGATCTGCTAGGATCTGGGACCTGCCACCCAGCCTGCTCTGTCCCCTGCCACAAGGCATCACCTACATACTGGACAGGTGGCACAGCCTTTGTCTGGTGGCGATGGAGACCTGTCTGCCACCCACAGCTCGCCTGTCACTCTAAGCCCTGGTAATGGCACACAGCTCATGTCCCTCATGCTGGCAGAGTCACTCGGGCAGGCTGCAGCGCCTGTGTCCTCCTACAGCGCACTGTGGTGATGAGGCCTATGGGACAGTCCCCAACCCCAAGCCTGGGGAGAGCACAGTCAGCGGAAAACACCTCCTTGGTTCCTGCAAGCACCTGGATACCTGCTCCCCAGCTGAACCCCTGCTTGTTTCTGGGGAGTCAGTCTTGGGCTGTTGTGGCCTCCAGTGCTGAGGAATGAGGCTCCAAGGGTCTGCAGCACAGGAGCCACGATGGGAAGAGACAGTGCCCTGCATAGCTGGAGAAGTTAGTGTACTGACTGCCCACATTGGTTCATGTTTATTCGGCATACAGAGCTTGACTGAGATCGGGTCATGTCCTGATAAATCCACATTCTTGAAAATATGGTTCGGTGGAAGCTGGGCCTGCGCCCCCTGCTTACGGAACACCCTCACCTAGCAGTGAGCATGCTGGAGGGGGCCAGGTGTTCCCTGTGTGGCCCGGGGATCTGAGAGAAGACAGGCTGCATCTCGTTAGCCCTGGAAAAGGTCAAATTCAAATTCCACCACTAGTTTCTACTGGATCTGTATCACTTTGCATTGTCTTAACAAAAGAATCATTTGGTCCAACGCATGTGAATTGAGCACTTTTTGAAACCCTGTTTCCTGATGACCCCCGACCGAGAACCACTGTCTCCCATGGAGTTTCCTCTGCAGGGGGACACTCAGGAATGAACAGGAGGGGACATCACAGGAGCATGCTTTATAAGGACTTCCATGTGAACTCCTTTGCCAAGTGCAGTGTTTTGTGGACCAGGGTGAGGGTGGATGTCCATTGTCGTGTCCCTAGATATCAAGCTTGGGGGAGCCCTGCGGCCCCTCCCATCCTGGACTCTGCGTGCTTCCTCTGCTTCTGCTTGGGAGAGCAGGGGCTGGCGTTTTCCAGACTGGGGCTCCACCCTGGCCCTTCCCAGGAGTCCAGCATCTTCCTTCACACCTTTGTGTTTCCTTGGTGGAAACACATGGCTGGCTCTGCTCCGGTCACAGTGGGCTCCTTTCTTGCTTGACCTTCCTGGGCCCAGACCTAGGCAAAGAGGACTTGCAGAGAAGGCCCTTGGGAAGAGGCTGGAAAGCCAGCCTGGGGAGGAACTGAGTCTCTGCCCTGCAGTACTAGGCAGGGGAGGCAGGGAACAGCTGTGTCATAGTGTGTGGAATTACTATAAAGTCCATGGAAAGATTCCATAAATTGTTACCAGACTGTATAATCCTGTCAGGTGTGTGCATTGCAGAATTGGTGAGGACTCGGTGGAAAGCAGATTTTTCCCTTTGAAATAATTCATCAACCTGGCCATGTTGTCTAGACCTGTGTTGGCAGCTAGCAGTGACCCTGGGAATGAATAAACCGTTTCCCTTTAGCACTGAAAATGTCATCTGTCCGCTCTCTGCAGATGGGAATTTTTTAGCCATTGGCTCTCACGACAACTGTATCTACATATATGGAGTTGGCGACAACGGGAGGAAATACACGCGTGTGGGCAAGTGCTCGGTGAGTCTCTCACAGCACGCATGTAACATGGACGCGTGTCCTGGGTACTGGTGCGGACACTCAGGTGACTCCTTCCCTCCAGGGCCACTCCAGCTTCATCAGCCACCTGGATTGGTCCGTAGACTCGCAGTTCCTTGTGTCCAATTCTGGAGACTACGAGATCCTCTACTGTGAGTACGGCGGCCAGGCATTTCCGTGTCCCAGGCACACAACAGGGGCCTCTGTAGAGCTTGGGTGTGCGTGGAGCATTCCCTGGCCTCGGTTTCCTCCTCAGTGAGACAGAGAAGCTGGCTGCACAGCCTCTCCGTCTTCCTGGCATTCAGATACCATGCAGGCCCTGGGAGGAGAAGACTCAGGGCCTGCACAGAGGAAGAGGAGAGGCTGCAGTGATAGAAGGGGACCAGGGCAGGACTGGGGGCCATCACAGTAAGGGTAGCCCTGCAGGGACAGCAGCCCCTCCTTGGCCTCCTCTCCCAGCCTCCCTGGCCAGCTGCGCCCAGGCGGGATCTGGGGACGGAGAGGCTGATGAAGGTAGCACCTCCTGAGCACAGAGGACATGCCAGGCACTGATTCCTCAACACTCAACACCTGTCCCGTGCCTGGCTGTGGACTAAGCAGAAGGGGCGTGAGCATGAGAAAGGCCTGGTCTCTACCCCACCAGAAGTTCATTAGAGAATTTGGTGTTACTGATCCACACTTCCTGGTCCCGCCCCCCGCCCCCTGCAGGTCCTGATAGAGAACCAGTACAGGAGGAAATCATTCCTCAGGTGCCTGGCTCACTTGTTGAGGACCCCCCCCCCCAGCCAGGGAGGGGGAGGGAAGCAGGGACCCCCTTCCTGTGGCCACTCTTTTCTGTTCTGGTTCTACTGCTGGCTCAGAAGTGGGTGATAATTTTAGGGAGTGGTCAGTGGGGCACAAGTGGCTTCCTGCGCCACTTGGAGAACTCCTGGGGGCTCTGGTTTCCATGCCCTGCGTGGGGCTGAGGGATTGAGTAGGGACAGCCTGACCACAGAGGCAAGGCAAGGTTCCAGGCCCTCAGTAAGGACGTGGAGCCGGGAAGCCTGAGGACCAGGGCCAGCCGCAGACAGGTGAAGCCACTGAATGGATTACAGACTCGGGAGATGAGAACAAAAGAGCGACAGCCGCTCGGACCTGGATGTGGGCTCAGTGGCAGGGCCGGTTGACAGCCATGCAGCAGCTCCCACAAGGTCCCTCAGCTGCAGCTCTGAGGACTCCGGCCTGCCCCGGGGAGCACTAGGGGCGTGGGCATGGATGTCACCAGGCTGTTTGCTCTTTCCAGGGGTTCCCTCAGCATGTAAGCAGGTTGTGAGCGTGGAAGCTACGAGAGACATCGAATGGGCCACCTACACCTGCACTTTGGGATTCCATGTCTTTGGTAAGTTTCCTGCAGATGGAACTGCTCCAGGAATGAGAACAAAGGATATACCTACCTTTGGGATATTTCCCTAATAGACAACCTCACCACCTCCAGGCTTGTCAGAATGCCTGCTTCTGCAAACCCACAGGTCTTCCTGCAGCGGCCCGGGCCGGGCCAACACATAAGGACCCGAGAGGTGGTGTTTAGCGCCCCCCTTGGTACCAGCTGGGCTCAGAGAATGCTCTGCAATTCCCCCAGATTGTTCCAGGCAAACCTCAACAAGCCCATTGCATTTACCATCTGGTGGGGTTACTGTTTGGGTCCTTAAACTAAACATTTCACTTCCTTCAGACTGTAGTTTAGGGGAGTGTATTCCTAGTCAACCTGAAATCAATTAGCACAGTTTAGTACAAAGAAAAGGCATTACCTGTCATCTTTTCATGAACGACCACAAGTCGCAGCTTGGTGAGCCTTCACCAGTCTCCTGAGGGCAGGTGTTTGCCGCTTTCCTGCTAAGAGCCCCTCAGTTTGCTCTAGTGCCTCCACAAGAGCTGATGTGCACACAGCGCTCGCTTGTGTGCACGGTGACTGCTCAGGTTTCCCAGAGCCTCAGTCGGAGAGGTTGTGCCCACAGCTGGCCTGCCCCAGGCCCAGCCAGCAGGGGGCAGCCTCAGGCACACCTGTCAGGGAAGCAGCAGCCCACACTGGGCTAAAAAACACCGGAAAGTACACACAGACCTGGAGTCCCAGAAGAGGCGTGCAGCCCAGCAAACCCGTTCTCCTGACCACACCAGTAACCCAGAGCTGTGCGTCTGTGGCAGGTTTCCTAAAAACGGGCAGAATGAGCTGAATCTGGAAGCACAGGAAAGGCCACAGCTAAGACTGGGCACTCACCTGCTCGCCTGTCTCTTGTTCCAAAGCCTGGACGCAGGGCAGTTTTGTTTTCCGGGTAGCCCTGTGGCCGGCATCTCTAGATCTCCAGTGCTCTCTGTGGTCTGTTTCAGGAGTGTGGCCGGAAGGCTCGGACGGAACCGACATCAATGCCGTCTGTCGGGCCCACGAGAAAAAGCTGCTGTCGACAGGGGATGACTTCGGCAAAGTGCATCTCTTCTCTTACCCCTGCTCCCAGTTTAGGGTACGGGACTTGTCTTCCCGCTAGCCTTATCCCTCGTGGGCAGTGTGTGAATGGATACTGAATAGCAATGAGCGTGAGTGTGTGCTAGCTGCCAGCCATTAGTGTAGCTAGCACCCTGCTAACCTGTAGCCCTGACACTTCCCTGAGCTCCCCAGTTCCCTCGGAAAAAGGTACAGCCTACAGAGCCCTGCAGATGTGGTGTAAGAACCTCTCTGGCCTCCCCACCCCATGGCTTCCTCTCCCCCAGCCCCACAGAGCAAGGCCACCTTGTGCCCTGCACACCTTCCGGTTCTCCCTGAACCTGAGACTCCAGGGCAGAGACCCCCCCTCAGCCCCAGGAGCTCCTTGGTCCTGCCCTTTGTGCCTACGCCCTCCCCGCAGGATGATGTGGGGCCCCTGGGACCTGCTGCCCTTCCACGGTCTGCACAGCTGAGAGCTGCTGAACAAGGGGCCCGAGTCAGATTTTCCTTCACAGTAAGCTTCCCTCCCTGTCCTCTTTCCCAGGCACCAAGCCACATCTACGGTGGGCACAGCAGCCATGTCACCAACGTCGACTTCCTGTGTGAAGACAGCCACCTCATCTCCACGGGCGGGAAGGACACAAGCATCATGCAGTGGCGGGTCATTTAGCAGGTCATGCCCGAGAGGACAGATTCGCGTTCCGCTTGGTCACTGTGATTTCTGTTTTGACTAAAAATTCTTACAAACCTCAGGAAAACTACCCCTCTGCCGGTTACCTTAGCTTAGGGACTCAGCAAGTGTCACACCGGATGAGCAGCTGCACGTCCGCTTCCGTTGTACATCAGACGAAGCAGCATCCGCAGGGTAGAGCAGGTCCCTGGGGTCACGTTGACAACGGCATGGCCAGAAGGGACTGGTGTATCCTTAGCAACTTTTCTATGAACTCTTCAGAAATGGTCACAGAATGCCTTTTAAAATACTGTACATAGTCTTCACTGTTTCACCATCTAGCCTGCTCAGTCAGATATTTATGATAAACATGCGGTACGGAACCGTGATCGCCGCTGACCAATGGTCGGTCCTGGACGGATGAATCCTTGGGGAAGAGAGTCAGTCACTGACCACGGCCCAGTCAGGAAATGCAAATGTGAGACTTTCTTTGATTACATGTTTTAGGGTTTCATGAAACTCTCCCTCTGGGAGGCTGGCAGGCCGGGGGTCACACTCTCGTTGTGGAAGCAGATGAGTCTGAACATCGCAGCAGAGCAGACAAGCGCTTCCGTTTCTGGTCACACTGCCCCTGCCTGCCACCCCACACACAGCCACCTGTCCCGCTCACGCTGATGAATGGCGAGACATTTAGCGCCTTCCTCTGTATATTAACGGCATGACGTGGTATTGTACTTGTATAGGGTGTTAGCAACTCATAATAAATACCTAAGGCCAGGCTTTACTGCTTTACGCTATGGACATTGTACATTTGTATTTTATGACCAAGTAGACCACGGTGGGAAGAAATCTCTTCAGCGTACTTGGGAGGGGAGAGGTCTCTGATGGCTCCAGGTACGAAGGGCAGCTTTCTCATCCTGTCTTGTGCACGGATGGCTCGGGACAGTGTGGAAATAAGACTCTGCTCTGATGGGTAGGACACAGGTGGCATACAAACTTGTCAAGAAAGCCTTATCCATTGTGTGACAGATTGCGATTTACTGTTTACATTGGGGAATGTATCTCGGATTTTTAATAGAAGAGTAATAAACAGACTTAAGAACAAATTTTAAGATTTTTACTCGTTCTGAGCAGGTGGGTGAATTCAGTCATCCGAACTCTACAGCACTGGTTGTTTAGAGTGGCCGATTGCGTGCGACACTTGGAAACGCTTTTCGTGACATCTCTAGCCTGCTGGGGAGTGCAGGGCACCAGCAGGCACTGCGTGTTAAAGATGATCTGTTCCTATGTATCCTTATCAAATATATTCTATAATGAAATAAACTTTGAAAAGTGGATTTCTTATTGACCTATATTCCTAAAAGCATATAAATTAAAATATTTAAAATTAGATATGATTCACCCTATATTCTGTTTCATATTCAGATTTTTTTCTCACCTGGTTCATTTGCAATCAGAACTGTACTCTGCATATGGCATAGATGCGCTTTTCAGACAAGATAACCACTGAAGAATTTAGGCCAGTTCCCATACCCAGCCATTAGTTTCCTTGGTTATGTGAATACTGGCAAAAACAATCATTTTAAATAAGTAATTGAAGAACTAATTAGATACCAGGAATTGGAAAGAGATCTATTATTGACTTGTAAGGCAAAAAGATCGATCTGTAGACACATTAATATTTTATATATTTATGCGCTACTAAGTATGCTGTTTTATATTGTACTAATCATGAAGACAGTCGTCTCAGTCACTTTCCACATGGGAGAAACGCCATACCCCACACCCACACAGTAAAAGAAGCAAGGTTTGTTTTGACTCACATTTACAGCCTACAGTAGGCTGGCTCCAAGGCAGCACAGCTGGCTCAGGGGTATGGGCAGCATAACTGCTCACAGCAAAGTGGACCGGAAGCAGTGCGCAAAGGGCGGAGCTAAGCAGGGGCTGGACCCTAGCGAGCCACGCCCCCATGCCCCGCCTCTTCCAGCCATACCCCACCTACTACAGGAAGTCAGCTCTAAACCGCGGGTCCAATCACTTTTGAAAGCCCCGCCTATGCACTCTGGGACTCTGCGGGGAAGGCTGGGTGTGAACCATAACGGTGGCTGTTAATAGTTTCACATCTGTGAAATGTAGGCAACTGTGAAGATAGTGCTGTCTTTTAATGGTCCTGTAGTCACTTTGCAAATACTGATTATTTACTGGCTCCCTCAGCGAGCAGGGCTTGCGCACCGCCTCAGGCAAGCAAGGCCTGGGGAGGACTTTGAAGAAAGGGGCAGCTGCTGGCCCATGTGGCCGTTTCCCTTCCAGCAGCCTGTGGCCACCTCCGCCTGGCTTCCCCAGGACCCGTATGGCGACGAGGAAAGTACAGAGCATCGTTTAAAATAACAAATGTAGCTACCCCCAAGTAAGTTTGGTAGCAAAAGACAATTTGCCATTAGAAAAAAATCCTCCAGGGGCTCTTTAAACTGAATCGTGTTCGAGTTTGCATTCAAGGCCATCCTGCTGTGGTCAGCTAAAGCACGGAGGAAACACTGGATCTCCCCAGACCCAGCGTGGACCCCAGCCTGTTTCCAAGCTTGTGTAGGAGCATGCGCACTGCCGACCCTGTCTGCTTCCAAACCGCTCACAGTGCGGTTAAAATCACTATTTGCAGGATTCCTGTGCCGAACCATTCCTTCAAGTCTCGCCGATTCACAAAACACCGTGAGAAGTCTTCCTGGTGACCGGCTCGCTCCTGGCCACAGTGAGGAGACACTCGGGTTCCTGAAACTGTTTCTTCCTTCAACAGCGGTGCCCCGGGGTGCCCTGAACAGAAGCCTGTGTTTCTGCACCGGGAAAGGGGTAACCAGGGCGAGAGCAGCTGGAAGGAGATCACCTGGCCTGCGTGGAGCTGCTGGCCAAGCAGGGAGGAGGGCATCGACGCTGAGGACGAGGAGCCTCCGGGGAGGTCTCTGCTCGTGGTGGCCACTCTGGGCCCTTTGGGAGCCCGGCCTTTTGCCAGCCCACTGCAGCTGGGAAGTCAGCCTGGAAGGGCTGCCGCCAGATGGGGACCACCTGGCATTTATGCCACGGGTGTTTGGGGGATTATGGCAGCTCACTGCCTCCCCAGGGAGCAGGGAAGCTGAGGCCCAGGAGAAAATGACTTCCCCGAGACGGACACTGGTTCCAAACTTGGCTTAACAAATAGATGCTCAGTACATGGGCCAGTCCAGTCCTGCCCAGGTAACCAGCAGGACACAGATGCAGTCAGGGCGGTCCCCTGTCACTTGTGAAATGGCAGCCCCGCTAAGGGCAATGCAGAAAATGAGCATGGAATGATAAGACAAGAAGGTCTGTGGGTTCCAGGAAGGTTCTCCAAGGCTCAGAGAGGAGGGACCCAGGTGGAGTGGGGAGGGGCCCCGAAGGCTGGGCATACACTGGTACAGCCTTTGAGGGGGCACAAGGCTGCCAAGGGTGGGGGAGCCAGATGAGGCCTGGTGGGTCATGGGATGCACTTTCCCCTGAACCGCAGACCAAAGGGAGCTCTCTTGCTAGTGCAGGGAGGGGACCGATCAGTATTTTGAAAGGTCTTTGGGGCCAAGGTGCATGGAGGGAGGTGTCACCATGACCTCAGGGAGTGGTGAGGATGGGTCGTGCGTAAGAGGAGCCCAGGAGAAGGTGGTGTAGGCATCATCGGAAAGGTTTCAAGGTGGCATCAGAGGGGCCTGTGGCAGATTGGATTGGGCAAGGGAGCCTGGTGTTGTACAGTCAGATGGCACTGCCCTGGGATGAGAGAGCTCTGCCATGCCCAGGGGAGGCTGGGGGAGGGGCAGTGCTCCTGGCACCAGGGCCAGTGCAGCTGGCACCCACTAGAGGCTCTTCAGGAGGCCAGGTGTGCTTGGGATGGTATTGCCAGAACACTGGAGTCATGTCCCATGATGGCAACAAATGAAACTGCAGAGGAGGAGATGAGGTACAAGCACAAGGGCTAAAAAGATGTGAGGCAAGAATTAGAGCTCCCAATATCTGAGAGGGGTCCTGAGCAGGAAGCCCAGGGGGCTCTCTGTCTAGGAATTTTTAAGGGGTTTAGGTGGGAGCTTGGGTCACTGTGTAAGCCACACAGCCTCTCCCTATGGGAGACCACATACTCTGTTGGGTCTGATCTGTGTAGCTTTTCCACAGTGCCTGTGCAGGGCTCTTGTGCCCTTGAGCCAGTGACCCATCTGATCTTGCTCTGGGGAAGTCCCCGACAGCCACCAGACGCCACGGGCGTGTTCACACAATCCCTAAAGTCATGATTCCACAGGCTCCATTCAGGCTTCCAACTCTTTTTGGGGGGCCAATTCCCAAGTTGTTCCTCAATTCCTGGGTGCTGGCTAGACAGAGCAGGTGAGGAGGAGAGGGACCTACCCCAGCCAGAAGACCCCAGAATTAAGGGTAGGTACAGGGAAGGTCCAGGTCAAGAGGACAGGCTGGCCATGTGGCATCTGGGGGGTCCCACTGCAGGGGCCCTGTATTTGGTGAGTGGCTTTGCACAGCCCCACACAGAGCAAGGCTGGGCAGGAAGGCAAAGTGAGAAAGGGCTCAGGCATGGGGAAGCGGGCTCACAAGACCAAGGATCTGTGTGGGGCTGCTGGGAGCCTAGTGGGGATGAGGTGGGGAGCTTCTGGTGCTGGCAGGAGCTGGGAAGGGGGACGTTTGGTGAATTCTCAGCCCAGCACTTGTGGTCCTTAAATCTGTGGTTCCCATTGTACATGGTGCAGCTTGGTCCTGAGGGTAGGACAGGCAGCCTGGGGCAGGATCACCCCTTTGGTCTCCAGAAAGGTCACACATTCCTTCTGTGAGCTGCAAACAGGCTGGCCACAAAAACAGCTCACAGCCAAACCTCGCAGGAGAAATGACTTGTGAGACCCTTGGGCCAGTTACAGGGGCCTCTCTAATACACAGCTGGGGGGCAGCTGTTTGGTGAACACAAACCCCCAAATGTGCACTTTAACAAGGTGGAGACTTATTCCAGGCCCATTCCTCCTGCAGATTTTCTCTTCCTGTAAACCTCACAGAAAATGTCAAACATCACACAGAGACTCTCACCACATTTAGAAAATCTTGCTTCCTCATCTCCTTAGATTTAGGGTGGACTGCTGTATTTTAAAACCATTTCCAAGCTGCCATGTCATTTCACCTATCATACGCCAGTCTGCCACTCTGTGGAGGTCACTGTGTAACCACTGTGACAGCATTGACAGTTGTCACAAAGATCTCATCTCCGGTTGTCATGTGGTACTTCTCGACCCTCAGCCTGGGCTGACGCAGGTGCTGCAGGATGAACTACCTGGCCCACCTGCCTGCCAGGGAAACTTGGGGTGCAGCCTCAGCTCCTAGCCCTTCCCCAGATCCTTCTTCTAACCCTGACCCTGACCTTTCTGCTTGCTTCCCATGGTGCCCCGGCCACTCCTGGAACTAAACACACAGCCCTGTCCTGCAAACTGAGCTCCTTCCAGTCCCTCCTGCCGGGAGGGACCTGCCCTCCTGGGGCCACCCAGCTGGCAGGCACACAGTAGTGGCTCAGAAGCCTTCACCCTCTTGAAGGAGGAGCCTCCTCAAGGCCAGCCCTTGGCAGGAATTCCAGCACCCTCCAGTTACAAGGGAGGTAGTCCAGCACCTCCTCCCTATGTGTCAGCAAAGACAGGCCACAAGGTCACCCTGCAGCCGGCGAGCTGGGGAGATGAGACACATGGTACTGTCATCCTAGACCACCTGTGCACTGTGTCAGGAGGTGGAGGGGGGGTGAAAGCCAGGGGCTGTGAACACACTGAGCTCACACTGTGAATGAGTTAAAAACAAACATGTTTATCTAGGCTTAGTACAAATGCAGGTGCCTTAGCATCCATCAGAGAATGCTCTACAGGCAATCATCAAAACTGTGTCCCACTGACAACTTCCTTTTCCATCCCAGATAACCCTCGTTGCTGGTTGCACGTGTGCCCCCTGGTGGTGGAAAAGCAGAGCAACCCTCTTTTCCAATTTACCAAATCTGGATCTGCCCCCAGCAGTTGTGTGGAGAGGAAAAGCGAGGTCTCCATTCTCTTGTGTGGTGCATGTGCTTCCCGTGGGTCTGCTCAAAGAGCTCCCAGGGGTGTTTGGAGGACCCCAAGGTTGCTGGTGGTCTCTCACTTGCAGTCCCCTGGATCTGGGAGTTGCTTTCTTCTGCCGCAGCCTCCAAGCACAGAAGGCAGCCTCCGTTGGTCTCACCCCACTCCAGGTGGCCCTGCTGGGCAGGACCTGAAATGGCTGTCTTGCTCAAGGACTTGCATGCAGTCCAAAGAAGCATCTGTGCCTCCTACACCCCATACCA